GCTGATAGTTGCTTATAATGGGCCTCTGTATACCTCTGTAGATATTCCATTACAAATCAGCCGTTTGCCGCAACAGTCATTTACAACTTCACACTGCATTTCTGATCAATTTGATGTTATTTTAAGGGACAAAACAATACTTTTCCTTTGAGAACAAGGAATATTCTAAGTGACCCCAAACTTTTGAATGGTAGTGTAAATACTTTTTATATCCTTTAATAGGCTGAAGTTCAGGCGGCAGCAAGCATAGAGAACATTTTGACTTGCATCCCATCATCAAAGGACAATCCTTGGTTTATTGTCTTTGACCAAACTTAGATCCAGGTGTAATATGATACACCTAATGCCTTTACTGAAGATAAGCCATGGCTGTCACCCAAACTTTTCACTACCATGAGAAATAACTCTGCTCTAAGGCTTGAAATGTCAGTGTTTTATAACCCTGCAATCGGTCATCCACAACCCAACACCTGATACTTTGAAAAATTGTTTGATTAACAGGTTCATAGTTTGGTTAAACTGAACACCAGTCTTTGGTATAGCAGCACATGCTCAACAATGTGCTTGGTAAACTTGAATCGGTCTTATTCAGTCTGACATCTTGGCTCAGAGTGGGCCAGAAATGAGATCGGTCTTGTGGGACGAGCTGTCTGCTTTGCATATCTGCACCTAGATTAGATCAATGTGTGCATCTTATCCAGATCTTACCTGCGAAGTGTTATTCCACAAGGAATATGATGCAGTCTGGGTTTTATAAGAAATACCTTTGTGAGCTGAAAAGGGCTGTAATGATGACTCCCTCATCACTGTGCACCTGAACTTGATTACAGTGTGCCCATCAGCATTTTTAGCAGCAGTTACTCCCAAAGCCTTTAAGTGGTGGTTTGAAATCAGCCTATGGTCTTTCAAGAGTGTTTTTGACCTTTTAGTGTTGTTCTTCATGTGATGGAAGTTAAACTCACTGTGTTTGTCACCAAAGAGTCAAAAAACATGAACAATGTATTGTGAGCAAAAATATGCTGAGCAGGAGTTGGTAAATCTGAGTATGTGTGTTAGTTAGAAGCCCCCACATGAGACTTGATGTTAATGAGTCCTTTGATGTTCAAAGAAACTTTATCTGGGAAAAAGAAGTGTGGATTTTGGCTCTGAAGAATACTTTGGCACCAAGGGTCAAGAGTCTAATGAGATTGTCGGGATCACGGTGATGGGGCGGGAGTGCACTTTCTCACCACAGCAACATTATGACAGCGTAGCAGCACAAACCATCTGACATCACTGGTAAAATATAACTCCAGGAAACCTTGTGGACTGATAAATAATAATGGGCTTTTGTTTGTATCATATACTATTCTTTTTATCCTTGACCACACAATAGATACATAGTGCAAGAATTATCTCAGTGAACTATCATGACATAAGTAGCAAATGTAGGTAGATGATAAAACACAGGATGTGAAGTTATGGAACAGTATTATTGCATTGTTGGGAATTGCTCTAAAATAGTGTGTCAAAAAACATTATAGCAGATGAACTTGGAAACCATATCAAACTAAAAGGAACACAGCGACCCTTAGTTTCTTAAGGGTATAGTCAGTATACCACAGGTGTTAAATATCGAGTCCAGTAATTGACAGAGGTTAACAACACAATATGGCACAGACACAGCTAATAAAAGCCGTTCAGTTCAAAAGAATGTCAAGGACTTGTATCCCCCCCCGAGGGACTCAACCGTGCCCAAGTCAGTAACATTCAATTCCTGATAATTGAACTCCACATAGTTTCTTTAGTCTGTCCAGCGGAGATGGCAATAACTCATCTTGGACAATCTGGAACAGAAATAATAAAAAAAAACTTTATTCATCTTGGATATATGTAGGAGCTGTTGTGTCGCATCGTCCTGATGTGATTTAGAGTGCTGCAGCGGCATCAGTAATGCAAAAGGATTGTTTCTTTGCTTACATTTTATAGAAGCCACTCCCCATTTACATATTTAGCTGACGCTTTTATCCAAAGCGACTTACAATTGCTATACATGTCAGAGGTCGCACGCCTCTGGAGCAACGAGGGGTTAAGTGTCTTGCTCAGGGACACAATGGTGGGGGATTGAACCCGGGTCTCTCACACCAAAGGCAGGCGCCATCACCACCCGTTTTACCTCCTTTGTTTGTTGCCAGTTTTTATGTTGCACTGTGTTGTGTCTCCCTGGTTCTCCCTGAGATTTGACTCCTATTCCCTGTGTTCTTTGCTTACACAACCATGAAAGTCGAATGATAACATATAATGTAGAGCAGTGAATAAAATTTGCTGCAGTTAAGCTTTAACCTCAGTGAAATAAATGGTCACTATCCAGGCAGATCATATAGTAGTCAATATCCTTTTCTAGCCCTGGATAACAGCCTTGATGATGTGAAGCACTGGGAATGAAACTATGCATTTTACATGGACAGCACACTGAAGACTGACATTATTCAAGGCTCATGTTACAAATTGCCCTTCAGTAACAACAACACTACATTACAGCTCCATTTCCTAATTTGTAGTTTTTTCTTCCTAATGTCAGGCCTGAACTTGGTAGATATATATGCAACATTTAACTTCTCATCATTTGAAGGATGTCATTGACTGTTGTTGTTCGTCATTGAAAAATCGTTACGCTGTGGTAATGGGAGAGATGAGACTGGCGTTGTCCACCCTTGGGGAATCTGCAGCTCCTAATTACAGAGATTCTCATCTAGAGGGGGAGGCCCAGAATTAAATTGTGCAATGTTTGGCTCATTGTCACAGAAATTACTCATCCCACTGTCACTACGCCTAAGTTGTTCACATGAACCAAAACAAGCTAGTCTAAATAATATTATACAGTAGATAATAGGGTGGAATAGGCATGCTGCAGACAAATAAATAATTTGGAAGACATTGCCAAAAAAAACAAATCTCTCACATTAACACTTAAATATATATATATTAACTTAAGAATGTGATGACTCTGTTTGTTCATACATTAATTTAAATGGGTGATTCATACCCATGTGTTTTATCTTCAGTACATTCCCCACCACACACATATACAAACAATACAATATAAATGAATTAGATTGATTTTTGCTCTCCTTGCAGAACCACAGTTGTGGATAATCAAGAGTCGTGTTTCACTGATGTCCAAGAGGGTCTTGCTCCTCCTGCACAGCTAGATGAACTGTCCCTACAGCCCTGGCTGCCTCAAGGATCGCAAGGTCAGTGAGCGGACCTAAACGGGGGCCCGATTCAGTGACACACATATTGTATGTGGACCATTTAAGAGCAAAGCCACTGTGAGAAAACAAACTCATTTAAGTTATTTGTTTGTGGAATGAAGTTAAGAATTAGATCAGAATTGCCTTTGGAAGCCAACACATAATCAGCTCAAGTAGTTATTGAAATTAAAGGCTTTCCTTGGAAACATGGGTTTGGGACATATTTACAGCAAAGATATCTTGCATGCGTCACTAAAATATTTTGCCTTTGATGCAACGATACAAATATATTTAAGTAAATGTTTTTTGACTTGATACCTCCATAAGGCAGACAAATTTGGTAGTGAATATTCTGGTTCTCACTGAGTCAGCCAGAACCCATCACTCTTAAAAATGAGGTATAATGAATAAGGATTAAATACTGATAATTTAGCTTAGGTATTTCTGGTAGGTAAATATAGTGGGCATGTAGCAATCGGCTTTAGTTTGGTCGTGTTCATCTTTTAAATTCACAGTTCCCTTTTTGGTAACGCTTTTATATTACAGCCTGAAAATTAGTGTTGTTTACTAAGTGATTATAGTGGAATAATTTCTTTAAAATTGTGATACAGTGTAAAGTATATGTGCTGCAATAACTTGAAGATAGACGATGCTTGGATGTAGTTGGGAGCCCCTGGATAAAACCAAATATGCATAACTAATTATTAGGGACCTATACCATTATTTGAGACTTTTCAGTACTTCAGTGGTGATAAAACACAAAAGCTTTCTGCCTAGCTTCTTTTCCAATCTCCCTACTTCAATAATACATATTTGTGCCCCAGTATGATTAGTAAGTGGCTACATTGTTAATGAGACCAATACCACTGCCTCTCTCCTAAATGCATTTTTTTTTTCTCTGCACTCCTTTTATTCTATTTTATATAGGTACTTTACCCCGAATGTACAAAAACTACACTGTAATTGGGCTGTGATATAAGCTTTACCCTGTTTGTCGTTGGTTCGGTTTTAAGGCTCTCCAGTTTGTTTGTCGGTTTTAGTTTGGTTTGTTCAGGCTGGTGTGAAAGTGGTGTGTGTCATGTGTAGATTGTTTTATGGCAGAATAAAACCAAACCAAAGTCCTGCAATCAAACTCTGGTGCAAAGTAAACAACCAAGACCGCCTAAAAAAAAAATGGGGGGGTGGGGGGTTTGTTGTGCTGTTCATTTAGGGTGTGAAAGCAAAATGGCACAACCACAGAATTTTGTGTGTTTTAGCATTATTTCAACCCACTAAACTACTATTTATTCCTGTCCAAAAAGATAGTTGTGTGCTCAGTGGGTAAATCTTGAGATACACCCAACGTCTAGAAGAAAATTGAAATTTTAAATTTATTATTTAATCCATCTGGTGAATGTGACCTAGTCTGTGTATTTTGACAGTTGCTCATTAAAAAATAAGTTAAATGTAGCATTTTTTGCTTCCTGTTTCTACCCGTTCATCATTATTTATAAAATGTGTTTGAGTCTCAACCAATCATGATCATAATCTGTCACTTCTTTGTGAGCACTTTGTAACCACCAGAGAAGATGCAGCAACTCATAAGGAGTAGCACTGATGATGCATGACAGTCGCCAAAACTGTCCAATGAATGAGTTGCCTTTTGGTCCACATGACTGTGGCACTCTTTTTTTTTTTTTTTTTTTTTTTTTTTTGTTGGTGAAGGTTCTCGGTCATCCAGGTTCATAGTTATCCAATGAATGTTAAAATCAAGGGCAACTGACTTAGTTGCCCTTGATTTTAACCTTTCTTGGATAGCTCTCTTGGACCAGAACTAAAAGTCAAGTGACTGCAACTGTAAAACTATGTTTTCACTCTATTCTAAATAAGTAATAATGAAGGGGTAAGAGAATGAAAAACAGCTTGCCAGTGGGAAGCAGATGGATGTAATACTGTGAGGAGTGTGATAATCATCAAGCTAAATATGGCTATAAGTAACAGCCAAGTCAATGGAATGACATTGTTCTAGTGCTAAAAAGATATTAAATTCCAAACTGTATATCAATGAGATGATCTGAATACAGTCTACAGTCAGATATATTTTTGTGTGAATGGAAAAGGTTTTCAATTAACATATGCTACCTTGAGGTTTAAGATGAGAGATTAGACTTTTAAATTGTTACTGAAAATGAAAAACACCATTGTTTTGGGACTGGGATGGGAATTTGAAAGCCCACAGCAGACGTGGATGCAGGGGGAGAAGTTTTGATTGTGGGACAAAACAGGTGTATAAGACATTTATGAAATCTGTTGTTTCTTTTCTGTGGCCAACTCGCTTGCGAAATGTGAACTTGAAAGAATTCTGTGTATTTACAGACAGTGTGACATGCTGAAAGATATTTTTCCACATTCCAAATGCTCCAGCTATTTTTTATGGTCACCATTATTCATTCCCAGCGGTGAGCTGTCATAACATATTTTTCCTGACTGTACCAGTCCCATTTACTTTATCAACTCCATGTTTCCCCTGTCCCATGCTGTTTGACATGCATATTTCTTCATCCCACAAGTGACCATTATTAGTCTAGAACGCAGCAGCCCGGCCCTCCTCACCATGCATTGTCCTGCTCAGTCACATCACACTCGCACTGAGAGCATCCTGTGTCTGCAGCTTCACCTTGATCCTCTGTGGGATCGGATGCCTGCCCTTTAGCTTTGACATATTTTCTAACCAGCCTTCCTGTATCCACTGAGACACGCGGAACTTGCGACAATTAGCATAATTCCCATTTATCTCATTTCCTGTTGGTGCATTTGTAGTCATGGTTGGCATCTAATCACCATTGTAAGCCATGACTTAAACTATTTGTTTTTGAATGAGCCATTGCATTTGTTACCTATTTGAATTTTTGCAACCTTTACTATTTAGTTTGTTGTTTTCTCATCAGTTTTTAAATAGTCACATACAAGTTGGAGAGGCTGGACATTTGCTGGTATAAATCAATGGTTTTGCAATGAAATTCACTACATAAAACACTCCCAACTTATCATTAAAAAATGCTTAAAGATAAGCTTTCATGTCTGCAGGGACCCAGTGAATTTGTTTTTGTCAATGTTATTTATTGCTACAAATATTTCTTGAGAAAAAGATGGAGATGTGCCCTCTCAAAAGTCCCAACAGCTTGATTTGATCAACCATGTATTAGTTACAAGTGAATGACTTGGTTCCCTGCTCTTCACAAAATAAGTTCTCCCTGGAGTTTTGTCTTATAGTACGATGAGTCTCCTGTGAGTAGAGCAAAATGTCCTAGCGAGGGTTAACATGAGCAGCACTGTGTTCCCTCCTCCTGACATTGACTGAGCGCGCGCACACACACACACTTTCTCCTGTGAGGCCAGTACAGAGCCAGAGAGGAGGGACTGTTTGGAACTCTGAGAGCCAGCTGTTGTTCGCTCAGAGCTGGATCTTTCTCTCCCCGACTCCCCCGTTCTCCACTGGCCTCATCACTCCATGGGACTCCAGACCTGGCCGCCAAGCAATCCACCAGTGTCCACTATGGCCTGCCTTGATGTGGAGACCCCCTCCATCTGCAGGGGTAACTTTAAATCAGGTGCCTTTTAGTTTTCTTGTCTAACTTACATGTATTTCATTGTTTTTAATTTGAGTATCTGTGTAAAGTAAACTCAAGTTTTTTTTACTCTTGTTAAACTTTACTGATGCCGGTAGTTTTGGCAGGGGAGTTGTATTGACGTAGATGAAGAGCTAACAGGAAATGACAGGGCAACAGTAAAGCTTATCACGATGAGTCATGGCAAGCATCATTCTTACAGGAGACTATTGTCTTCTAACGGATAATAAATCAAACTTGCTCTACAAAAGCTGGCAGCGACTGCCTGGAAGAGTTTTTGTAGAGAACCTCATCAGTTTATGCTGCCTATGTTTTTGTTGGCACATAATATAAGCATGAATTCACACCTGTAATGTAAGTCCACACAATGCACGTCATTCAAATTAAATACAATACACAGATATGCTGCTGATCAAGATTATGATCATTATTATGATCAGATGCATTCAAATATCTTTGCTGTTTTGTAGCTTCAGCAGTAAATGCATTTGATTAGACCAGGCCTTGAGTAATATTACTTTTTTTTGTGATAAAACCAATGTTACTGGTGTTTAGGTTCTATACTAAATAAAGCATAACTTTTTCCAATATCTGTGAAGTCACGATTAATGAAAATATTTTGCAACCACCAAAGTTCATGAGGTAGCTAAAGTACATGTTGAGATTTAGTATTTTTGCATCCTACAAAAGTGATAATGTACAATTTTTACTGTTTTCAAGTGAGTGCATCTTCTTACAAACGTGCAAAATAGTGAATATGTATAGCATGCAACAAGTAAGCCAAAATGTGAATTCATTCCGTTTGGTCAATCATGCAAGATTTTATTTAAATGTCAATAAATGATTATTTATGACCTGACTAAATATAACTTTATAACTAGTCCCAGACCAGTCAACATAGAGTTGGAGGACACGCCCACTCATGGGGAAATTGTGTTTTCTTATATTTGTATCTGACTTCATATTAGGCCCTTTTGCCTTGGGAAGATTCAGGTGTAGTTACAAATGAGCTCATGACTCCTCATTATTGTATGCAGGTATTTATTTTTAAGTTAGATATACTTTTGTTAAAATCCAGTGTTCAACAGCTCTATTTGATCTTGTATGCATGCTCAGTCATTATGTAACAATCATCTAATTCATACTGCTTAAGTCTTTCTGCTTTGTTGAACTGATTTAGGATAAAATGAGTAATTGTGTAGTTTAATATAACAACATGTGATAAACTTTGATACTTGAAGTTTGCCTGCCTGCGTTTGACCAACCACTACCAAGCATGTAAATTACCCAGTTGCTCAAGTTATAGATGCCTTGATCTTTGCTAAAATGGAATTCTGTTCAGAGTTTTTGTTATTTATAACAGCAAAGTCAACATAACCCGATGTTCGTTTCTAAACTAAATTCATCATCTTTGTCTGGGCAAGGAGTATCTGTAGCCATACCAAACCGTTTTTTTTAAAATTTGTACTATTTCTAAAGAAAAGTCCAAATAAACGGTCCTGGAGACCTCCAGGGATGATTTGAGAGCAACATGGTTCTGAGATTAGAGATTACATCAGTAGACAGGGATTTCAGCAGAGCTTTCTCTCTGTCTTTCTCCACAACCTCTGTTTACACTCTGCTGGTGAGCAGGAGAGCGGAGCCAGTTTGCATCACGGAGAGGTTAGCCAGGGTTCAGGTTGAACACAAGATGACACAAAGTGAGGAGGACCCCGGGCATGAGGTGTACCCCCAAACTGATGCTCAGATTAAACTCCTCGTTCTCATGTGGTGCTGGAAGGCAGCTTTTGGTGTTATTGATAGTAGTTATATGCACTCATAAATTCTCTTGCTTGAGGCCAAGTCACAGTGGATATGAAGATTGTGAAAAAGCAATGGCAATTTTTTACAATCTCCTGGTATGATCTGTCTCAGGCTGACCATAACCCCCTGGCCTGGGTTTGTAATAGGAAACACAGCAGGCGGGGCCGGCACACTGTGTTCTCTGCTCTAGAGTTGATGGGCTGCTGTGAAAGGAGACTCGGCCTCCCACCCTTTGCCTCAGCACTTGTCACTCTGCGTTCCCTTGCCCACCAGTCGAAGCCCGTGTACATCCCCTCAGCTCTGCATACAACTGGAGATCCCACCCCTTTAACTACCCCCAAATTTCATGGTTCCCAGGCCTTGTTCTCACAGCTGCCCAGTTTATTTTTGCTAGAGTGAGTCACAGAGGCCTGTTCAGACGCAGTGCCTTTCCCAGGAGAGTTGAGCAGGTCTGTGTGTGTGTGTGTGTGTGTGTGTGTGTGTGTGTGTGTTGGAGTGGGAGTAGCTGTTTCCTGAGCCACTCAGTAGCTTTTGCTAAGCCAGCTTCACTTCACTACAGTGGTGACAATAAGGACCTCGTACCTCACACCGTCGCCTTATTCATCACCATCACCCAATACCTTCCTACAGTTTTTTCCTGCAAGAAGTGGTGTTATTCTACTGAAATATGTCCACGCTCACTTGTTTATAAATGTTTAAACTGGGATCTTACTACAGTTTATATTGATGAGAAAATAACACTGAGTATTGTATGTGAGGCCTGCATGCAAGACTCAACAATTTCTGCTGGAAGTCATGTCTTTGAAGTGCCACTGTAACATAACTGATCACTGCTTGTTCACCTAAAGCAATATTTACATTTTAAAAACAGTTTATCAAATAGACATGACTTACTTAGCCTTTGCTAGTGTCATGGCCATCTCCAGTGTTTCTCATTATTGTGACTACAGCCCTAACATTAATTAACTTAATTAACTAACACACCGTATTCGGTACAGTAGTTACTTTGTTTGAGTATTCTGTGTATTTGCATCCCACACAGAGATACTGACTCTCAGCCAGTCACATTGCACTGTTAGTCTCTAACTGTTGTAAAACTTGTGGTACTCTTAACAACCCAAGTTAAAACCATACAGGAACTGAATAGGATGTCTGTGGTGGCGAACAGGGTTTACTGTTGGGCCTTTAGGGTGGTGTATTGATTGAGAAATAATAAGTACTTTGTTTTATTTGAAGTCTGGCATGTTTCACAGTTAAAGCCAGAGATGGTTGTTAGTTGACTCAGCAGACTTGGCTCTGAATGTTAAAAGTTCAACTCTGACCTCTGTGTCTCTGCACTCTCACAGTCCTCCAGCTCTGTCTGCAGCAGAGGAGAACTCGGGAGCAGCTTGTGGAGCAAGGCATCATGCCGCGTGAGTATTCACATCACACACAACTCTCCCCTCATACTTTGAAAAATAAATCACAGTTAATGTATTGACACCTATGGAAATTAGGACAGCCAAGTAAGTAGCCTATTTTTATTTTTTTTATTTACGTTATTTCGTTGCTCTTGAAAGAATAGTTTTGGAGTTTAAATTCAGCTTTTGCTAACATCTAGCCAAATCAAAGCATCTTTATCAACCAAACCTCTTCATGGCTTTTAGAGAACATATTTAGTGCTATTAAAACAATATGACAAAGTAAAGACCCATGGAAACATTATGTCATTTGCGATTATGCACTTACTTGTTGTAAGTACACTACTCCAGTAAAGCTCGCATTGGTATTAAAGGTTAAAGATTACACCGAATCTGCAATCTTTTGCACATTGAACAGCTTTATTAAGGTACGTTTTATTTAATAGAGTTGTGTAAATTACTTAACATTGTGTGTGTCTGCACATAAATTAATTGTTGTGTTGTAGAAAGTGTGAAGTTTATTGTCCTACTCAGACTGTTACTAATAGTTGCGTAATTGAACTCATGGAAACGTAGCCAACGGTGAGAAAGATTTAACACTTAAGCCATCAAGAAGCACACACCAGTGCCATAACAGAAAGAACAAGCTTGTACTTTATACCATCCATCCTTTGATGTGACAAAAGTGAAGCAGACTCAGTCCCTGTGCTGCGCCTCATAAAAGATGAGCTGAATCTGTGACAGAATCATGCTGATAGCTGGACAGGTAGAAAGAGAAAACGACAGAGCTCTTCCTCTTTGTCTTGTTGTCTCCTGAGAAGGCTCCTGCAGTCAGGCTTTCACCTCCTCTCTGGCTCCAAACAGCTACATGAGTCAGCGACTGAGCCTTCAGTGGAGGTCAGTCATCTCCTGGCCAAGCGTGGCCTGCACACAAACCTCCCAGGCCAATCTCCACTAAAGCACTCTGCTGCTCCCACACTTATAGTCTTATGATCGGTATGCAGTGAGGTTTACGCGACGAGCAGGAATGTTTTGCTTTGCTCCTCTGACACACTCCCCAAGCCAGTGTGTCCTCAAACCAAATAGTGCTTGTCAAAGCAGAGGTGACTAGTCAATGAGCCAGACCTCGCCTGAAGCAGTTCTGTGAGATCAAAGAGTAACTTTTCTCAATCTCACTGCTTGAGTCAGTAAAGCTGTAACTTCCTGTTTGACTCCCATAAGCTCCTGCTTATTAATGTCACGCTTATGCAGAACAAGAAAGACAAATACATGAAAATGATGAAAAATAGATTACACTGTACTCAGATTGGTGTGGAAAGTGGTGGTCCAGGAGAACTACTTAAAACATGTTAGTAATGCTCATCACTCATCAGAAATTATATGAAAAAGACATTTGACACTCTAATTTATTTTGTACTTCAGGTCAAATTATACTGTTCCATGGTTCACTAAGTGTGTTATAAGTCAAACTTTTATGTTGTGTAAGCATTTGCTGCTGGATGTTCATGATTTTAAACTTTAAATGTCAAAAGGACATAATGATTTAATGTATTACAGTAAATATACGCATGTCGTAGTGTTCCTTTACTACATGTAGCCTTCTTGCAATTTTTAGGAAGCAATTTTGATAACTTAAACTGCTCCTCAAGGGCATTAGAAAGAGTCTACACAATAGAAAATTGGGAGGTTCACATTATTCCTCTTATGTTGTTACATCATCCTTTTGTTTGCTTTGGCACACTCTTATCAATAAGCTAATTAAAGGTAGTCTGTCATAACAGCAAAAACAACCAAAAGGAAATGGCCTTTGGAAGTAGTAAGAAGGAGAAGACACCTTAAATCAATATAATTTATTTCAAAATGGAATAAACAGTTTGCTTAAAAACAGCATGTACAAGTTATGAATTTTGTTGTTTCACCCTTCCAAAGCTCTGAAAACACCTGCTACTTTTCATGAGCAGATTCGCAGCCTGGAGAGAGCCAGGGTAAGACAAACTATGCATATCATGATTTTATTCATCAAAATCTAGATTATGTCCCAAAATATTTGAAAGAATTATATATTTTTTCAACAGGCTGGGAACTTCTTAAAGCACAAACTCTGCCGGAGACCAGAGCGCTCTGAGTTGGTTCGTATGCACATCCTGCAAGGTAATCATCCTCTTGTGTGTTCTTACTGAGTAATGGCTTTTAGATAACAGACATGAATAAGGTGCTTATTCATCTAATCACACGTATTGCCAGTTTAAATTTGTTTTACAAAGTTAGAACCAGATAAGTGTCTTCTGAGGTTGACATATGCTTGTGAGGTCTGGCTGAGCATGCAGTGAGTCACCCTGACAAAGTAATTAAGAGACTGAGTGATGCTGGCCAGATCACAGGTAATGATTCTCTTCATATTTATCAGAGACCCAGGCTGAGCCCTCCCTGCAGGCCACACAGATGAAGCTGAAGAGGGCCAGACTGGCTGATGATCTCAATGAGAAGATCGCCCAGCGGCCTGGACCCATGGAGCTGGTGGAGAAGAACATCCTGCCTGTTGACTCTGCTGAAGAGGTCCTCAATGGTAGATACTCACCAACACTATTATATCCTCACTATCACCTGAGCCATTAAAAAAAATAATTTTAGCCCACTCTGGTGCCACGTTCACCACCAAAGGTTCACCACTTACAGTGACAGCTAGAAAGTTAACTCAGCCATTATTAATGTTATTACACCTTTGTTTGAAAAGTCAAAAGCTTGCAGCGAGAAAGGTCTGTCAGTTTGATATAGTTACTCAGTGATGGCCAACTACACTATCTCATGTTTTATGAGGTAAATGATACCAATCTGGCACTGATACCCTTTATCAGAAAAATTTCATATTTTTACCTGTATTATTCTATATTGACTGTTCAATTTCAAATGTATTTGTGTTGATTGTTTGTAGCCACACTAGCAACATGTCTCTGCGGATGGTAATGTCAGTCTGTCAGTTGGTCCACCACTTAAGTCCACACTAAAATATATTTGTCAACAGCTGTTTGAGGGATTACATAAACTTTTGTACAGACATTCATAGAGCCCAGAGCATGAACCCTACTGACTTTTTCCTCTAGCACCACCATGAAGTTGACATTTTTGCTTTTTAGTGAAATATTTCAACAGCTATAGTAGCCAAATACCTGCAAAACCAATGACATTCCCATCAGTCTCAACTGTACATGCTAACATGCTTAACTAAGATGGTGAACTTGTTAAACATTATACCTGCTTAGAATGAGCATGTTAGCATGTTCATTGTCAGTAAATAATAAGCTGTACTTGCTTATGTTTGATGCTGGCCCCACAGGTGGTAAGGCAAACTCCTCTAAGCCACCAGATATTTACAACTTTGATGAGGACAGCAGTGATGTTTTATCAACACAACAGCCTGCCAGCCAACAATCTCCCAGCTCCACCTCTGCCTCTCCAAGGGAGTCTGGAGGGACTGTGACCACTTCTACTTCCTCTAACTTAAACTCTCCCATACAGGTACACCAATAGCTTGAACCATTACAATTCACAAAACATTACCTGTGAGTGAGCAGACATCTACGTTAAAATTCCACAAAAAGTGAAGAAAGGATGACACTGGTAGGATTTTTCTCTTGTGTATAATGTAGAACATGGATAATGTATTTATAATTTGTAGAAACATTGTAACACAACAACATTTGTACTTACGTAGTTTTTATCAACCTGTTTTTGGTTATATTATTCCAGCTGTAAATGGGATGATGATGATGATGATTAACTGCGGTATCGCTGTTCTTATTGAACGAATGATGGAGTTTCTCTCTGTCTCTGCTTTTCTTAGCACTCCCCACCGCCTAACTCACAGTCCACATCAGATTTTGTCAACCTTGTCTCCACTAATGAGCAACAAAGCAACCAACCAGCATCTACACCTCAACCAATCACCACTGTTGCCCCCAGTATCACACCAGGTCCAGTTCTTGTGAAGGTGAGCTTCAGATTTTTAATAGCTCCAAGTTTGACCAAAGTCATTTTGAGGTTGAACTCACTGTACGGAGTAGTATTTTTTTTTTTCAAAAGGATGAGTTCATCTAAGTTTGTTCACCGACAGTCTTCCAGTGTTTGTTGTTTATAACCAGCTGACATGAAGCTGACCTCTGTTTTTGTTTCCTTTGGAAATGTGATGCGATGTCAGAAGACAGAGTCTGTGTTTTGTCATACTGAAAGTCGCATCATTTCTGGGGTGAACTGAAAGTCAGTATTCAGCCAAGTCAAACACAACAGGGTTTAAAGAACAACAGGGTTTAAAGTTATTTCACAAATCCTTGGGCTGAAATCTGTGCCAGCCACAGTTTGTCTTCAATTAGAAGATGACAGGCTGGCCTTCCTCTTTTGGGCTGTGTAAAATCAAAGCACGGGAGTAAAGCAATAAGTTGTGCATTTATCATAATCCAGTTATCGTCTGAGCATAACATGAACTCTCTCTCCCTTGGAATATGATAGGGGAATGAGTTTGACAAATTGGAGAGTGAGCTTGCCTTAAGCCAGCTTGAGTTTCTGGTTTCATAGCAAGAACCCGCTGCTCTTGTGCCAAGCGGTTTTCATGTGAATCCTGTAACTGCAGGTGGCAACACACTAAGGTCACATTTTCACTACCCTTTTCCTCATCCTGCAGATCTCATCGAGTGTCAGAACACTGATCCACATTAACGGTTCAAGCTATAAAAATCCTTTACCAGTTCCAAGTCTTGAAGTATTGGTACTGGCAATACTATCTGTGTTCCCTGATAAACTGGACTGAGATCAGTCACAGAGATCAAATATCCTCCATATGGACCTCTTGTGTTTTACATGCCCTTCTCTGTGTTGTGTTCTGCAGCAAAGCCTACCCAAGCTGCCTGCCGATAAAAGCCGCAGCAAAAAGAGCAAAGAGCCCAAACCACGGGTGAAAAAGTTAAAGTACCATCAGTACATCCCCCCAGACCAGAAGCAGGAGCTCAATGAAATGCAGATGGACTCTGCTTATGCACGCCTCCTGCAGCAGCAACAGGAGTTTCTGCAGCTCCAGATCTTAAGCCAGCAACAGCAGCAGTTCAACTACCAGGCCGGGACGACTGCCACACTCAAGTATGGCTCCATGTAACAACACAAACAATCCTTTTACAATGCCAGAGATAGGATTAGCTCACCCATAAAGTGTACCTTTATGTGTGTAGGCTGATAATCTTGTGTTGAGTTCATTACTACTAAAACAACTCAAACACTGCCACAAATTCAATCAAAAGTTCACATCTGGTTTCTGGTTAGAAAGCAACAACTTTTTAAACACAGCTGCTGTTTGTCTTAAACACTTATTACATATATATTTCCTGATCATGGCGTCCTGCACACAGATGCTGTTGATTGTGAAAAATGGATAGTTTAGATTCCCTTTCTAATGTCTACTCCCCTTTTCTTCCTGTCTTATTACAACAGACAAACAACTGAGGCACAAACCAGTTGTTCCAGTGTTATTCTGAGTGGAAACCAAGCGTCCACCCCTATGCAGCCCCGGTACACTCAGACAAACCGCAAGCCGGATCATTTACCAGCTAATCTGGATGAGATGAAGGTGACATGTTGCTGCCTGCACACTATCTGATTATATGCACCTATGCTGCAGAGGAGAACAAACAAAATGCTGAAAGGTATTTTGTATATGATCTGCTATCTTTACAGGTTGCTGAGCTGAAAATGGAACTAAAACTCAGGTCATTACCTGTTTCTGGGACTAAGACGGATCTGATAGAGAGGCTAAAGATGTATCAAGAGAACTCTAACATCCAGACTGCTGCTGCCATTGAGACAACAGCTGTCACAGCAGTTTCACAGTCTGAAAACATAAAGTTAACCCCGCCTGTGTCTCCTATAGCCTCCAAGGTGAGCTGTCTGGGCATAGAAGATAGTAATATGGCAGACAGCCCCGTCAAGCTTTCAGCTGCTCTGTCTCCAACTGTCACTGCTCCCTGTATGAACTCCCCACAGAGAGCTCCACATGAGGAGTGTCCGACAGAGATGAGGTCCTATGAGAAAGACTCTGAGAAGGACAAACGTCTCCATGAGAAGGAGCGTCAGATTGAGGAGCTCATGCGGAAGCTGGAGCGGGAGCAGAGGCTTGTGGAGGAGCTGAAGATGCAGCTCGAGGTGGAGAAGAGGAGTCAGCAAGGAGATTCTCCACCTCAGCTCAGCCCTCTTACTCCCATCCAGGTCAAAGAGGAAAACAGGACCCCGTCAAGCTGCTCGGCGTCCTGTAGTTCTCCTGGTCTGCCAGTGTTGGTCAAACAAGAGGTGGTGGCAGATCAGAGCGACTTAGCTCCTGAAAATCAGTTCATCAGCCACCAGACTAATAAGCAGCCTGAAAGCCTTCATCCTATCCAGACTGGAGCTCAGATCCTCCTGCCTACGTCCCTTCCTGCCTCTGCAGTCGCTATCCAGCTCCCTCCACACAGCATCAAATTACACACTACGGTTGCCAGATCAGCCCCAGGCCTCATCCAGACCTCTGGACAGGTGCCACTGAAAATAGAAGTCTCAGCAGCATTACAACAGCAATGCAGCACTCAGACTCAGCCACTGACAAAGGTAAAAAAACATACTGATGCTTGCACAGGCTGTCCATCTCTTTATTAGCCATCACTTTCAGCTGGGATTTTCTGCTAGTTTTAGATTTATTTGAAATGTGAAAACTTGAGTCCTATGTGATCATCCATGTGTGTAATGTGTGTGTACCTAAAATGAAAAAAATTAATTCTGTTTTCTGTGCAGTAAATTCAGGTTAGGTAGCACATCATTCATCTGGTACAGTGTTGTTAATGGCAGTGTCTAATCACGCACCAGATGTTCTTTACATCGTTGACGCTCTATCATGGGTAATCCATCTTTCTTGTAACAGTAATAACAGGCCTCAGCCGGGTGGTGAAATCCTTCCCTAGTCACATGAAAAGAAAGCTTGTGTAAACTTGGGCTACTGGAGCAGGTGCAGAGTGAAGGCTGACAATAGTGCCCTGACTGCCCTCTGTCGTCCCTCTGCTCTGAGCCAAACAACCAGCCAGAATTAGCAACAGAAACTCACTGCTAACTGAGGAGAACACTCTACGCTACATAGCGCTGCAAACAGTGCTGTCATTGGTGGGGTAAAAGGTGTTGATGCTTCAACTGAAGAGGACCCAGTGAAATCCAACTAAAGTAACATTGCTAAAAATCAGGGAGTGCAGAGCAATCTTCATTTAGGTTGCCCACAATGTCTCTCAAAGGAACTTGGTTACTATAACAAAATTCTTTGCTCCCACAAGTGGGTGTTGCACTACTTTTCCATGCATGTGGTATAGAGCATTTTACAACATCAGTGGGATTAATGCATTCATTATTGCATGCCTCTGTCTATATTTCTTTGCAGATTTGGAGGATGGATAGTACAGCACAACACTTACACAACACATTCCCAGCAAATGGATGTCCTGTGGGAGCCTCCACTAGCCAAGCGCGTCCTAAAGGACCCACAAAAAAGGTAGAGGACGATTCTTTAGTCTCTTCTACTTTGGTTTACTTACTTTTTTGTACTGTCAACTGCACTTGAATGATGGTCTGTATCAGATGTATCCTGTTTTTTATTTGGTGTAAGGGCCTGTTGTCTTTGCCTGTTTAACAGTCTCCCTGTACCAGCCAGCCAACTTTGATCTTGCAGCAGACAAAATTCAGAAACCACGTGTCAAAGTGTAAAGACCCACCTCGTTATGAGGATGCCGTTAAACAGACACGCAGCATGCTAACAGCTGTTCAGGTGACAAATAAATACACTTTTTATTACAATATATCATTTACATTTTTACTATAGCCACTCAACATTTACTCATCTTATTATTTCTCTGCAGGGTTCAACTGCAGCCAGCCAGCAGATGGATGACCTGTTTGATGTCTTAATTGAGAGTGGGGGTGAGAAGTACTACAACTTTTCTTTTGGGTGGGGGGACACTGGTAAAATGAGTCAAAGTACCAATGATTACTGCATTCTCACACTTTTCCAGAGATCTCCCCCTTCATCAGACAGGACCCTTCCAGTCAAGACAAGCGTCTCCCTGTGACAGCCAGTGTAACCACCCTTCCCATCAACACGGTTTTATCCCGCCCTCCACCCGTGGTTCAAGTGGCCCAGTCACCTGCTGCGCCACTCAACCCCTCCACCAGGTTAGCAGCTCTGACTTCTGACACCCAGATGGAAACCCTCCTGGATGGCACACTGGGTGCTCACACTGAGCAACAAACCCTGAAGCTGATAGAGGAGCTACACCCACCTATGGCTACCATGGAGGTGGACTTAAATGAAAACACACCACCCTCTGCTTTGAACCTGCACAGTACGAACATTGACAATATGGATTGGCTGGACCTTACCCTGTCTGTGCCAGTAGAGGGTGTCAACCCTTTGGACATATCAACACCAGTGGGCGTCTTCTCTACTGACTTCCTGGACTCGCATGATCTGCACTTGAACTGGGACTGAGTGCTATCAAGGTGAATTCTTACACCTATCAGGCCGTTTCAGATAAATTACTTTTTTATGCAAGGGAGGATGGCTTTTGTTTCCTTTGTGGAAAATGAAAAGCTTTTGGAGGTTAAGGGCAGCTCTGTTTCGCTTTCTGACTTCTCAATAATAATCTAATTATGCAGCGTCAGTTCAGCTGCTGCATTGCTTCCTTGAGGTCTTTAAACCCTCTGATTGTATGGGGAGAGTGACATAAAGTAGGACTCCTACTGGCAGATTGAGCTGACAGTGGAAGTAGCTTTTAAATTTCAATCTTAAGTTATGCCACTTATTTGTAATCAATCTGTTCTCATGTTATTGATTTCTATTTGCCCTCTGGTCTTAATGAATGTACAGTGTTGTATTGATCGTGTAAATAAAGGAAAAGAACAGGACAATGTCCTGATCCTGGTTAAAGAACTAATGGACAAACACTGTGTATTATCACTATCTAAACAGATTGTAAAACACAACTGCAAACTGTTCTTTGTGTGTAAATCGTGAAGCATAAATCAGATGTTTGACTGAATTGGGAGTGTGAACATGTTAACACTAGAGTACTCTCAGCATTGTTGTATCTCTCAACCAGTTCTGACAAGATTTCTAGCAGTGTGCAGATCAGCCAAATTGTCACTCTCCAGTGTGTACAGTGTATCTGTACACTGTGTAGAACATGCTGCACATATTTTTGAAAGCTTAAAAAGGAGAATCCTCACTTACAGTTATGACCAGCTAGTCACAAGAGTTATCTGCAGTGCTCCGTCTAGACTGTATCCAAATTAATAATAATAAATTGTTCTTGGAACATCATCCACTTCTTTCAGACTGGTAGATTGACTCTTGAGAAATGATTGAGGGTGGGAAATTATTGAATTAAGATTAGCTTGTTTTTTGTTTAGGTTTATTCAAGAAGCGAAAGCATGGCAGATCATACTAGACCTCAATCTTTGTGTGCAGCATTACAATGAAATAACAAATATACAGACAGCTCATACAAAAACTTAGTAAACAACAATAATAACCTTAATGCATTACTGTTGATTTGTGTTGTAGTGACATCTGCTGGTCACATCCAAATATAAGAAGCACTCAAACTCAACTGAATTTCAGTCTGAAGAAAAATGACCAATCCCATAAGTAATTTTCATTCCTTCAATGTCACCTTTTAAAAGGGATTATGTGCTGTAATGACAAACATTTTATATTTATACAAGTATAATTCACCAAGAAACACTGCAAAGCATAGTTTGTAGACTTGAAACATTGTCTAAACTGATGTTGGCTTCTAAACCAACTACATGCCTCCTTGACCCCCTTCTAGCTAAAAAAAAGATCTCTGGCCATTTCAATGTGTATTATTTAGGAGGATCTATTGACAGAAATGCGATATAATATCCATAACTATGTTTTCAGTGATGTATGAAGACCTTTTTCCTGTCAGTTTCGACAAGCCCCGCCCTGCTGTGCTGTGATTGGCTAGTACTCATCATACTTACATACGTCTTTGTGATTGGATGGTAGCTGTTAGGCACTCGGCCCTTGTGGTTGGATGTTAGCTCTACAGCGGACCGCTAACCGAATGCCCTGGGCCATGCGTAGCCGCTTGTACTGGCTGATGATCCAGCATCTACTCTACTGACAAACTTCAGCATAGCCCTGTACAATCTGAATAACAGTAGGCTACTTGCAAGGTATTAATGTTATCAGCTGCATCAGGCCCATTCAAACTCAGACGGTCCAGCTCTACGTGCAGCCCACCTCGCCCGCCGAGAGATGAAGCTTGGGGATAGTCTGGGACTCTTAGCGTGTCTCAGGCTATAGAGGTGTCGCAGCAACCCAGAATAATGGACTCTTCACCACTGCGCCCCTCAACCCATTGTTGTTTATAGCTTATATAGTTAGTTGTGTATATAGTTCCAGTACAAGTACAGACATACAAAGCAAGTATTACAGTACAAGTTTACAAGTACAATGGCTGGGGGGGAATAAGAGTCCAAAACATTTTTTAAATAGGCCTGCAATAATAGCTGCTAAAGTTCTAATTGCAAAAAAAGCAAGGGTTCTTATCTGTAAATTTACATTTATGGAAATTAAACTTGTCTGTCTTTCTTTTTGCTCTCCCTCTGTAGATATAAAGATTTAAAACATTTATATTTGTGTTAGTATGCTATTATTACATAATCTTTTTTCAGTAGTGTCAAAAAGTACCAGCCAGTCACAGCACAGTAGGGCAGGACTTCCTGCGCTCACAGCTAGCATCCATTCACAAGAACACAAGAAGTGAGTTGTGACTGATGGTGAATTCATGTGATGTCAGAATAAAATAGTCTTTTTTTCCTCCTTAAATCTTTATTGCAAAAAAAGGAAATAAAGTGTACATGGGACATAAAGAAGTATACAGAACTTTGAGTCATACAAAATCATGTATTGCATATACAGGATTTTTCGCACACTTTCTACCACACTGTTAGTCAGTGGTGATTGTTTTTGACAGACAGTTTGCCTCTGAATATCGTTGTTGTTGTTGGGGCGATTTCTGTCCGGTTGAAAATCGCCCAGATCGCTCTCATAGACTTTCATGTTAAGGTAGTTTTTTTCGAGCTGCGGGCGCTGCAATGTAATCTCTATGGCTTCCGGGAGGGCTGCACTTGCGTGTTTACGTCATGCGCCCAGCAGCAGAGCTACGCTTCTGCCCCCTGAAAACGATTCCGCAGTCCTCCAGCTTGTTGCTTTCATCAGCTGCTGTTTTAACTAAAAGTACATTCAGACTGAAAATTCAACCATGGTGTTGCATCGGGAGATGCAGGGACTTTACCAGTGGTGAGTAATAAATATAGTATAAATAGTACATGTAAATTGTTAAGATATGAGGAGAGGAAATGTCTCCATCCACTAGACTAATTTATGTTGTGTAAAATGCCATAGGCTAAGATAATAAATGTAAAAAAAACCCCTAAAATCTTAAACCGAATTTTATGCTTATATTAAATGTGATTGTTATTAAGCCTTGTTTTATGTGTGGTAGTGGAGTCAATTTAAAGATAACTTTACTGCACCTAACCAGTAACAATGATTTTATGTGTTTGTGTTTTTTTTTTTCTTTTATTGCCAGAAACCACAGAAGAAAGAGGAGGTTGCATGAAGTGACCATCATTGGCCTCTTTGTCAGAGGAGAAGAAGAAGGAAAAGTAGGAAAGCAACACAGAAAATAAACCAAAATCAATAGAATACACCTTTTGTTATTCCCTCTTACATGCCTTTTTGTTTATGTGTAAATACAGAGGAACAAAGGGAGACCTGCACATACCCCATCGTTACTATGTGATTATAAAGCATGGGAGAACAGTGGATACTTTTAATACAGCCCACACCCCTATTATTACTGTGTAACTACAGGATAACAAGTGGAGAACATTCAAGATTTTTTACAACTCTCTGCTTCTTTTATTAGTGTGTAAAGAATGAAAATAAATACTATGTTCCTCTGTACCACATTACATATTAAAAGAATAGCTATGTTTGATCCACCTTCATATACAGTATATGTGACATTATTACATTGCTGTAGCCTATCACTTGAGACGGGTCCCTTGGTTGAAATGCAAGATTAACTGTAAATCATTTTATTCATTTGCACACTATCAGCCCAGTGGCACTGTGCTGTATTCTGGATTTGTTGTACCTAAATAAAAGGTTTGTCACAGCTAAATCAGATGATTGTGAGAGTCATTCTATTTTTTCATTATTGCTAAGGTAGTTGTCTTTACATCTAAAGGTCTTTGAGTGTAAACTGAAAAATGACTGTTGATCTTCACTGTGGACACTTCATTCATTGTAAAAATTGACAATGAATCAGGATATAGCTGTTCACAAATACTGTACAGGCTGTAGCCTAAGGAACAATCTGTGTGTTATAGCTGACTTAGACCATTGAACTGGTCACCTTAGCCTTCATCGCAACAATTTGAAATACTACATTATATTTACAATCATTCTGATCTTTTTTTATTCCGGAAAAGATCAATTTGAACATACGGATATTTCCTTAAATCTAATTTATATAGATTTACATAGAGGCTGACTATATTAGTCAACACCACATATTCCTTCTGACATGTGCTCCCTTAAAACTACAGTGTTAGTCTCCAAATGTTTGAGTTAACAAACATTTTCCCTCATTAACCAATATTTAGTGGATCCTGAATGCTAACAGATAAACTCTGAAAGGGAGCCATGCTGCTGAAATACTACTTCACCATTAGGTCAATGTCTGATGCTCTTTCAGTCTGAGCTTCCAGTTATCACCAGCTACTTTTCTCTCAGAGCTTTTTAATAGATTGGATTGGCGTTCTACACTTGGGACATCGATGTGTGGTAGTTTTGCACCTTTTCAAGCAGAAGGGAATAAGGCAACAACCAGCGACGCAGCTGCAAAAAAAGGAACATTAACAACGTAAAATGTCAGCAAACCTGGAAGCATAAGCCAGTGACTGTAACAGCTGCATGCATACAAAGTCTGATAATAATCTCATGCTAATATTTCAGCCAGATAAAGGGAATGTTTTCATACCCAACCATGGCTGTCATAAAACACACCAGCCAGGTCACACTGCTGACAGAGGTAAAAGTCTCTGTCATGATGAACTGCCGACATTCTGGACACTGGGTTCTGCATGGATGTGGTGGAAGTTTTTCCAGGTCCAGAATCACTGTAGGTGCTTTTAAGAAAAGTAAGAATTCATTGTTAATTTTCCCCACATGAGTATACTTCAGTAGCTATTAAAATGTTCAGTTAGTGTCAGTTACATAAATTGTGTACAGAACCTTTTGTAGGTTTTAAAAGAATGAGCTGACGTCATTTTGGTCAGATGGTTTTCAGTTACATTTACCAACACAAGTGCCACAAGGTTGCAGTTGTGGGAAGAATGATAAAATATAAAAACAAGCTTTCATGTTTATTAGGTAGCAGTTCACAAATTTTTCCCTAAAACTACATAATTCTTTAACTATTGGAACTCACTGCACCTTGTTTTTGTCGTTTTGTTGGCTGTGTAGGCACAAAGGTAAACGACCTGTACAACTAGTAAATGAACGAGAAACTTGATCAGTGCAAAAAGAAAATTTGCACTGATATAGCTCAAATGTTACATTAATAAAGAAGTAGGGTAAAAAAAAAAAGCCTATTTTCATTAAATGTGACAGTAACAAGTGTGACTTTGTGTGAAACCTATTATTCACATTCTGTGGTGCAGGTTGTGCTATGTGAACATGAATGCCTGTGTGTGTCACTGACTCACCAGGGATAGTAGGTGGAGCCTCAACATAGAAAATATTCGAGCCAGGAACAGCAATACTAGGCTCAATACTCCTACTGGAGGTGGATACACTAATTTCTAACAAAGAAGAAGAAAAGATGGTTGCAAAACCAAAGTATGAGTGAAAACAAAGTATTTGCAGTAGTAAATTTGACCTCACCTTTCTTGCTTTTCCTATCTTGGGCACTGAGGATGTTATCATGGATTTTTTGGAGTTCAACCTCCCTTTCTCTCAACTTTTTTAGTTCGTCATCAATACTGTCAATCTCATTCTGACTTGAGATCGCCTCCTCTGTAAGAAAAAAATATCGTACTCATGCATGTGACACAGCAGAGGTAGGACTAGGGAATTACTTGTTTTATTTGATGCCATATGCAAAAGACTTGGGATAGCTAATTTGAATGCTGCACATATCTATCTCATTATTGTTAAAGCTCTCTTTCATACACCACCTGTTTGTCCAAAGTCAGCACGTTTCCTCAATTCCTGAAATATGCACAGAATGTTTTTCCTTTCCAGAAGTTGTTCTCTCTTGAGAGAAAGATGTTTTAACTCTGTAGCCATCTTCTTCAGCTCGCTGTCTGAAGAAGTCATGGTGGATGCTGAAAAGAGAGGGGGGATTGTTGGATTCTTCAAGCTTACTGATATTTTGTTTACTTTGTGTATGCAAAGTGGTGCGTGTTTGTGTGTGTACACAGAATGGCAGCAGTGAAAGTGGAGTAGAAGAAAACTGGATTTAGGTTTTTGCAATGACAATGCTAAATGTTAATACCAAAGTTATATTCATAAGTGACAGACCAATTCTGAAAGTATTAAATCTACAAAAGATTAATAATATTGATACAATAAATAGAATGTGAAACTTTTCCTAAAAACTATTTCCCGTACTTTTTAGACTAACATTCGCAGACATTATGTGGCCTTTTCTTTGCACAAAAATCTGGACAGGATCACGATGTAGCGTATGCAACTATCTTTCCTCCTCAACCCAGGGACAGGGAGTGCAAATTAGTCATGGCTAGAAACCTGTACGCATAGAATCTAATTTGTATACTTTATAAAGCAATGTCTCATGCATTTGTCCCGGTCACAAAAAAAAGAAATGAATGAAAAGAATCTTGATTTGTTTCTACTCAGACTTATTCTTTGCAAATAAGTCCAACTGTAGAACATCCAAAATTTGTGAATCCTTAACAGGCACATCTATTTACAGGTAACATTTGCATATTTCTCTACCATCTGAAATTTGAACCAAAACCCAGTTTCAGGAATCAAAAAAGATGGCATGCCAAACATTTTTCATTGAAAGACTCATTGTCGTGATGTCGTGCCATGGATGAATCTTGATAAAACATCGAGTGGGCAGTCAGTAATGTTGTTGTGCATCTCCAAATGGTCAGCAATAAAGAATAATTTACAATAGGCAAACTGGTAAATGCCATCAAAGGTTGACTGAAACGAAAGTGCTCACTCACTGTACACTGTACTTTTACAACAGATTAAATTCATACTTTTAAAACTCCTGAATAACATTTGAAGTTGGTAATAAAACAAGCTATAAATTGTGAACTAAATATTCAATAGTCAAACACTGCTTCCCCTCCAAAAAAATATAAACAATAGAAAGACATTTGTAAAAATAAAAAAAATCTATAAAACTGACTCAGGATTGAGCAGGCAAAAGTACCATAACAATAATTTAGACTTGAGTTTTTCCATGCTTCCATGCGTCAAGTGCTTGTTCATGGTAGAAATTGGGTCTCTGTAAATAATATTACAAAGAGTACAGTCTAAACCTGCTCTTTGAAAAGTGCGATGAGATATTAGTTTGGATAACATGCTGGGATTACTTTTCGAAGCAACACTTACACAACACAAATCTCAAGCCCACTGCTTATAACTGAACTCACAATCACACTGTAAGAAGTTAAAACCATTCCTCAGACATTTTAACTACTAACTTCCTGAAGTCCCATTTAAATTGTATTAAAGAGAAAGGGTGTGCATTACCTTATTTCCTCAGCTGCTGCTCCCAGTGTGTCCTGTGCAGGTAACATCCAAACTGGTAAATAACTGCATATAGTGCCCACTTATACCAGGAAATATTCAAATCACCAGATTACATTTATAACAGCCTTCTCTGGAAAGTGTACATAATGCCCTGGATGAAATACAAGCTAAAGTAAAACACAAACACAGACAAATAAATTACAACAGTGTAATATATTTTAATATTTGCAGACAACTAAACAAAATCACTACACACTGGGGGGGCTTAACATCTAGTACTCCAGATATATTATTTATTTGTAGCCTCTTTGAGAAACACCTCAGTTCGTAAAGACTTTCTGGATAAATATTTGGGGTGTATAATGTGCACACAGATATATCATGTTGTGACTCCCCCAGAACCCTTCAAATAAAACAAGTTGTACAATCATGAATGCTTGTGAAGGTCATTTCAAGTCCGAGAAGTCTGGTAGCACCCCAATACACACTGCTGCAGGAACTGGTGCTTTTTCCTGATGTGACAAACGTTGGCTGCGACATTTCACTTTTTTCTGAGTCTCTTCATGAATGTCACTTCATCTCTGTTCCTGATCCCGTAGCTAAAGATATAAAGAAATACGGAGAGAGAAAAAAAAATTTAACCAGTGCTGATGATAACAGCATCACAAGTGAAGAAGGTGATTCATCCACTTACTCTTTCAGTCTCATCTTGTCATCTTCAAGCTTTTCCCCTTGAAATACTAAATTATAAGTTCTCCAAACATATCTCCTGTCAAAAAAACAACAAATGAAATGTAACAAATGATACGTTTGGCCATTAAAAAATTTTTTTAAATCCCTTTTATGCTCTTGAGTTTGAGTGTGTTTACCAGCTGACATGTTTCACTCCGCCTTCACGTTGTTGTTTCAGCTCCATGAATCTGCAAATGGCCTTCTTCAGGTCAAGGACAGTGGCATTTTGCACCACCACTATGGCTTAGTGTTAATGAAACAAAAGAAAATGTTATAAAGTGTAAAATACATTACTAATAATAATAATACAGCTATAAGTTGTGTAATGATGTTCAAAAATTTAAGAAAATACACAGTATTATGCGATCAGACACTTACGCATTATTTCGCCATCTGCCTTCAAAACCCTCACAGTCATTGCCTGGCCATACTCCAAAGCAATCTGAGAATTTACCTCCTCCAGAGTCACCTAAAGATAAATCCACGTTTGATCAGGTTTCAGGAAAGTTTACAGGACTTTCTATCCATCAGTACAGATTCTGACAAACTCTTTTTTGCCCAAAACACATGTCCAGTAAGTGCAGCACAGCTAAGGTGCTCAGCTCAAACACAATCTACCTGGAAGGAGCAACATAATGTAACACTGAGCCTTGGTGTTTATTAATTAAAAGGCTAACCTGTAAAAAGGACTTTGATGTGTAGTATATTACCTTTTGCTAATAGTGCTGAAATAATTATCCAATTGATTAGTCGATCCACAGAAAATGATTAAGTAGTCACGTTGGGCTCTGTGAACTTTTTTAAACTATTCTCATAGATTAAGTCAGTGGTTCTCAAATCTTTCACATCAAGGACCCTTAAATTGACACAACTTAGACCACAAACCCCCATTTAATAAAATTGTGTCCCAGGGTCCCCCATCTTTTTGCTTTTAGATGTTTTATTACATGACCCAAGTAGTTATTCATTCTGTCATTATATTACTTATGGACGTAATTGTATTAAAAATAAAAATATAAATAATTTTGCTGGGGACCCCATTTTGACAACCACTGGACTAAATGATGCATCTATTAGCATAAAAATAATAAATAATAAACAATTGTTAGTTGTAGCCCTAAATGCAACCAATTATAATAATTAGTACTTTTATAATTCATCTGTTCAATAGTATTTCCAAAAAAACTCTGACACTCTCAATAATAATAATCTCAGAGTGGCAACTTAATTCTTCAGGAGTTTAGATGCCCTTCACTAGATCTGTACACACAATTTTCTCAGAGGTCCAAGCAGAATTAACATTAGACTTTGTGGTTTGTTTGTTACTGTAAAGAGTTGAAACTAAATTTAACCAAGTGTAAGCATTTCTAAACCACATAAATGAAATTGCAACTGGTGGACTTAAGTCACATCGACTTTAAAGATATCCCAAGAAAGATTAAAGAAAGCAGGATGGATCTAAATATTTATATATTTTAACACCTTACAAAATACCGTTATGATGTGTTCTTTGGTTTTTCATCACAGGACACTGCGTGTAAAGTGTATTAGAGAGACCAAACCAACCTGAATTGGTAGATCACAGAGTAAAGGGTCCTGAACGAGTCGAGCAAGTCCCTCCTCGAAAATATCCAGGATCTCTGAGTGAGGAAGAGCCTCCTCATCTTCCTCCTCTGTCAGGTTGTCGTTTTCCACCTCTTCCTCTTTTACAGACAGCCCTCCTCCCACTGCGCCCTGACTCTGCTCCTCCATCACCAGCCACCAAAGTCAGTCAACACACAGCAGCCCTGTGTTTTTCTTGTCAGGCGGGTAATGTTAAAACTACAACTGTTCTTTACCGATGGGACAGGAAAAATGCTAAAACATTTTAGTGAGAGACTCAACAAATACAGCTTACAAACATTTTAACTGGAAACTGTTTCGCAGCAAGAAGCCACGAAGTAAACAAACAATGTGTACAGTTAAAATTCAATACCGAGAGGCAACCGTAGCTCTATATAAACGGTTCCCCATAGTGAACGTAAATTCAGACACCGTTTGTGTATTTATTAACCAGGCAAGTATTGCTGTTGTTTAATATTGTTGATTGATTATTATATTTTGTTGTGTGGTCGTTGAATTAATTAAAAAATACACCTTCTATATTTTGTTTCCTACCGAGCAATAAAAGGGTAGCACCGGCTTTCTCTTCCGCTGCTCCACATGCAGAAAGCTGTCTGAAACGTCAACAATTTGTAAGCTGTGTAAAACAGTGTACCTAAATTGGCTTTAATATTTTAGTCGGTAGCTGTTAGCTACAAATATTTCGCGGCTAACATGCTCCTTTTTTGTCCAACCTGCGGAAATGTTTTAATTGTCGAGGAAGGACAGAAGTGCATGAGATTCGCCTGCAACACCTGTCCGTATGTACACAACATCACACGAAAGGTGAGTTATTTTGTGTCAAGAGATGAAATATCACAGCATACACTATGTCACTTCAGAGTCTTTAACATTTTTTCAATCAGAATTACAGTCTATACTTAGTATTTTAGGCTTAGAAGATGCTGCTCCTAGTTTCACGGATGCCTTTTGTTTCTGTGAACGTTTCTTTTCTGCAGGTAAATAACAGGAAGTATCCAAAGCTGAAGGAGGTGGATGATGTTCTTGGAGGCGCTGCAGCTTGGGAAAACGTGGACTCGACTGCTGGTAAGTGACAATAAAATAATTGATGGTTTATTGGCTTGAGTTTACCACTGTATCAGAGGCCAGAGACTGCCGTCTGACAAGAAATCTTCTAAACCCCTCTATTGTCTCGGGTATATAATGCTTGTTATATAATATCAAGGGAAAATGTTATTTTAATATCAACATTTTGTGATTCTCAGCCATTTTTTAATTTAGCTTTTTATTTAATAGCTGAATTCAGGGGTGTAATTTTGTAAAAACGTGACTTAGAACACATCTTTTGATCATTCAAGATACTTTAACACATCAAGTTCAAAAGGTTTTACAGCACTAATTATGCCTTTGCACTGTATGAGTATTGCACTGCTGAACTAGTAAAATTCCAGTTTAACTTGCCAACGCTTTTCTGTTCTTTCAAGCAAATCTTTACCAAAAATAAAGGCGGCACACACACATTTTGAATTAGTTGGAGATGACCTCTATTATTTTGAATCTCGGTGTACAGCTGTATTGTCTCATACACGTCCCCTCTTTCACAGTACAGTTACGATTTGTATCTGTTTACAGAAACTTGTCCCAAGTGTGGCCATCCTCGGGCATACTTCATGCAGATTCAGACCAGATCAGCTGATGAACCGATGACTACTTTCTACAAATGCTGCAATGCCCAGTGTGGACACAGATGGAGAGACTGAAACCTTTGCACTTTGAACATTTTGATGAATTTAATGGGCTCTGATGGAGATCCTGCTGGTTATTTCCAGTTACTATTCTGTGTGGAGGTCCAGCTGAATAAATCTTCTTTTTGTCTCTGCAGGTGATATTTACATATAGTATTCACTTCCCAGATATTAAAAATTAGTTTCAAGGAAAACCATGTTCAGATTTTTTTATTGATAAAATAGTACCTGTATACAACAGTCAAACAAATTTTGACTTACAGTTATACATATCACAGACATTAAGAGAGCAATGCAGACCAGTATTATCCAGAACAATGGCATACAGTACTGCGTATTAAAAGTTCAATGCAATCCTTCAACTCAAAACTATCTTGCACAGCTTAGAGAAAGGAGAAAAAAAATCCAATGCACATAGTCAAGGAACTAGCCAGTGAGACTTCTTCATTTTTATGTGTAGTTCATGCAGACAAACTCTGCACTTGGTGAGTGAAGGTGAATGGCAGTTTGGGCATGCTGTGGTGGAACAATGGTTGTTTTCATTGTTCGTAGTAATCAATGGAATCACAATGTCATTTTGCAAGATGTCTGATACAATCATTTATCTCAAGCTTATTCCTAGCAGAGAAGTCACTATTTAGTATTAGTCAAAAAACATCTGTATTATCTAACATGCATCTGAGCAATGCAGGTACTCTCTAAGGGCTGATGCCATATTAGGAGGGCTACAGGCTAAACTGTATTATGTGATGATGGTGCCGCCACTGTAATTTGTTTGCCAACATACTTTTTTATTTTAAAACTAGCTACCTGTGGCGCCAACAATCAATCAGCCTAAAGTACCAGTGAGAAGATACTGTAATGTGGAGCAGTGCATCAGACGGACACATGGGCCAGAGGGAGGACACAATATTACGGAGCTGTCATGCAGTGCGTCTCCCCCAGTAACAGTAAAACTCTAGTCTACTATACTCTGAATAAGTGCATGTATGGTGAGATTAACTCAGCTAACAACAAACCTAAGTAAAAGCCAAAATTATACACTGCTTTTACTCATGAGATGACACAAAGTCACCACTGTAAACCTTATTTATTTTCCTTCAAAGTCAAACGGTACGGTTGAGGTTTTTGTGAATGCATCAGAGGGGGAAATTCTAACTTAAAGTGCAAATCTTGGCTTCATTATGAAAATTAAGTATCTAATGGACACAGCTCAACTGTAAATCATCAAACATTTTGTGACTTATGACTAAAGCTCAGAAGATTAATATACATAAAGTAACGTACGTTTTGACCATTCCCAGACAACAAATACGTCAGTTTACTTAAAGTGGTTTGTTAGTTTTCTCACATTCAAAGAGGGATAAACATAAAAAGAAAACCTAGGTTTGTTAAGAGCAAAATTATGGACATGGACAAAAATGTTCACAGTTCTCAATATCACAATAATGGATAAAATATTTGAAATAAATAGGGAAAAAAAAACAAAGCTTAGCTAGCATTCTTGACTTCAATTTACTTGCCGCTCAGCAAGATTCACATATGATTTTAAATAAATAAAGTGACCATTTTCACAGCTTTCTCTAATTCAGGCTGTCTCTTTCCAGATGTTTTTCCCATTAACATGTGTAACATCATCAGACTCTTTATACAGCATCAGACGGACCGGTGTGACTGCTTCCTGTCCATCTCTGTGATGTTTTTGTGCTCTACACCTTCTGTAGTTCGGTGTAATGTGTACAATTCATATGCAGGTTTATACATGAAAGAACGAATTGTGCTGAAAGACACATATAGTAAATATTCTTTGAACTAATGAGAAAACTGCACTTTCAATTTAAGAGGGCTACACAACACTTTGCAAAAAAAGGGAGGGGGAGGGTTGTAACTACCAGCAGGAGTAGCTGTGACTTTATGTGTGTGCATGTACATGTCTCTGTAGCTTACAGCTGTCGGTGGTTAGCATATACGCTTGTATGTGTAAATGTAGCCCTTACAGTAAGGGCAGGTGTGTGTCACGTCCTTGAGGTCATCAATCAGACAGGGAATCAAGCAACAGCCGAGATCACACCTGAAAATGAGGAGCAAAAATATCATGTTGCAAATTCAAACACCTGCGGTTATACAAACTAGTGGCCAGAAAATAAGAAGTGGGTGTTCAGGTGGAAGAAAAAAATACTTATGTCTGAACATGCACGCACATGGGGCCTTACGGTGAATCCCGGCAACAACAAGTGTCTTTAATGCTACTTGATGTAATCTTGGATTTCTACAACCGATGATGATCATTTCATCAGCTGGCTTAGTTAACATGGTTGAGGTGAAAAGGACTCCCACCTATATTGATTTCCCTCAAATTTAATAAAATTTTGATGTTAAATATTGTCCACACAAATGATCAAACTATGATGGTTACGGTATAGTGATATAGCGATTGCCTGTTTTTCACCAAAGTACTGAGCTTTATTTCGTGATTTAACCATCTGGCATCACTGTGTCTGAAAAACTTTGCGTGGGCTCTAAGCATGCGTAGAACCATGCACCTTTGTCTGCATATAATTTTGACAAGAGAGTTAAATTACATTGTTACAGCCGGTGCATTCCCTGCCTGGCAGCCAGGCAACTAGGGATGCAGCGATTACCGGATTTCACTATTAACTGCGCTTTAAAACGTCACGGTTAATTAATCGTAAAGGCTCCGCGAGTGTTTCTGTTGCACGGAACGAAACTGTGGCAACTTGCATAAAACAAAAACAAAGTTACAGGAGCAATGCACCAGCTTAAGTGTTGTGCTTATCAGAGGCTACTGTAACTTACACTGGCTAAACTATGGCAGAGGGGCCAAACATTTCGGCTACACTAAGACTGACCAGGTCGTCACTGAAGATGACGGATCACCTGTTCAAATACTTGCCGTTAAAAGGTTCCTGCTAAAGGAGTGAATAACTACATTAAACTTGATGCAGCACCTGTGGGATCACCATAGCTTTGAACGCCCAAGTAAAGGTAGGCCTAATACATTATATTAAATAACATGGCAAGTTGGTAGGGAATTAAATATAAACGTGTCACTTACAATCGATGCCGTAGCGGTAAGACTTGAGCTTTCAGTCCAACGTAAACAAACCAAGCAGGTGTAAACTTTCAGACCCACCGCTGCGATTTGAGGCCCATTATTTTCAATAGCTTGGTTTGTTGCTGCGTCGAGCAACGCGCACTGCACGGCGAGCTTGCGCGCATGCCGCGGTCAAAGTAGTTGAACTTTAGCGCCGCGCAGCTTCCACGCAGTACAAATCACTTCTTTTCTGAAAGGGCCTTTATGGAAGACAGAACGTAGTCCTCTCAAGACCTTCAGTCACTGAACATTTAACGTTACATCCTGTTGCCTCCTTCTGTCTGTGTTGAGAAAATGTTGCCAGGTGTGAAACACTGACATACATCAGGAGCTAGACTTTCAGGACTATAGGCTACCACTTAACCGCATTTCAGTTAACACTGCACTCAATTTCTTTCTATCATTTTCACTAATACTTATACGGAGAGTTGATGACAGTAACAGTTCAGTTTATTCCCCTCCTTAATAACAATTTCCCCTGGGGGATAAAAGTTAATATTCCTCTTATATTAATAATACTTACATATTATAGAAATATAATTGTTAATTATTATTATTATTATTAAAAATCAACTTAAGTCATTACTAATGTTGTGAAATTTATTAATGCATAATAATCGTAATTATCGTGAAACCGTGATTATTTCTCTGACAATAATCGTACTAACAAAATCTATAATCGTTGCATCCCTACAGGCAACATCTGCTCCTTAACACTGATTTCAATGAAAACAAGTAACTACTGGCATCCTACTAGAACAGAGGTCACAGACAGCTCTGTATGCAAAATATGCATACAAAATTATTGCACAATACAAAGACGCTGACTGAATGAAGAACATGCTGGTGAAACTTGTAACTCCAGATGTCTGCATATTCAGAGCATATTTTGTCTTCTTTTTTGCATATAAACGGGTTGCTGAGAACAGGCTGGGAATGTGAAGCTAATGACTTGATCGTGAGTTTGAATTCTATTGTCTGACATAGTATAATTATAAAAATACTATAACACTTCTGTACCTGCCAGCTTACATTTTTGATGGAGGGTAAGCCTCAAAGACATAAATCAATTAACTGTTACCCATGAGAGACAGAAAAAATATATTATCTATGGAAGATACACAATATGAGACCATAAAAGGATGTGCAAGCCGAACCTTCTTCCACCCAGTTAAAGGAGTCCTGTGTATTTTAGAAATGCTGTGACTTTAATATGTTACTTTCTTTAGTCTCGTGTGTGATACATATTTATAAAGCTGAGGGTGTGAGGCCAACAAAAACTTTCCATGATGCTACAAATCCCACCACAAACAACTGTTAAGTCACCTTAACCAATCTGCTACCAGACCTCTTTTCTGCTTGACTTCTGACCTGTGATCTACTTACCCTACGAAGAAGCAGAAGAGGCAGAAGAGTGTGTTCATGAGTCCGACATCGTGGGAAATACGGGTGACGATTGCCTGCTGACAGTGCGGACACACAGTCTGCACTGGTGAGGTCTGGAACATTTCCCCTTGCAGTACAGTCACAGTGGTGGCTGCTCCTGGAGGAGCCAGGACGGTCGCAGTGTGACCTCCCATGTGGACAAAGTGACTGGGACCGGGACCCATCTGTCCTTGCATTGGGTGTGGAAAGTGGCCGGGCGGAGGCGGGTAGTGGCCACCTGCGTAGAAGGAAATTACACTTAATATTCTGTATTTTATATCATTTTAGGCACAGGTTAACTTGTATGGTGGGCTTTATCATGATGTTTAGGTATTTGATTTGTTAAGCTGGGGGGCCTATAGTGATGGAGCTACACCCAACTGAAGTAACAAATAAATGTCTTGCATGACGTTAAAACTCCTATAAATTATATGAACAATGAGTCCAATGACTGATGTTCAAGTGTCACTAGTACTACCAAACCCACTGAGAATTAACACCCAACATTGTAGCTTTATGTAGCTTTTAACCATTTTAAACTGTCTGTTTTGGTTTTACAGCTTACCAACCACAACTAGATGAGATAACAGGTGAATAAATATTTGAATTACATCACATTAGGTGGTCAAAAACATGACAGTGAATAAAAGTTAATGTTGCTCTGTCTGAAGGCAGTGAATTGCTTGCTAACAAATTAGTCTCGACTACTTTATATATCAATCATATGCTGTGGTAATGTGTCTGATCTTGTTGTGATGCTTTACGGATTTATTTGTGTGTGCAGGCTGTCTGCAGCACCTGGTGGTGGAGGCATTGGCATGGGCATGGGTCCTTCTCCTGGGACATGTGGGGGAAGGAAGCCTGGTTGTGTGGCCTCATATGGTGGAGGACCGTAGTCTGGAGGCAAGGGCTGTCCCTGTATAGGAGCAGCTCTTACTGTTTTCACAGAAAAAGGAACAAGGATTACATTGAAGACAGGTGTATACAGGTATGAGTCAGAGTCAACAAATGCAAAAAAATTCATACTGCAAGTCTTTATCGTGACAGTTTACTCAAACCGCAATGATTAAAATGTGGTGTGCAGATGCATCCTGTGGGGTTTGACTGTGCACAGTTTGATAGTCATGAAGCAAAATTGGCAAATTGCAAGAAAGTACATCAGAATGTACAGTAAAAATGTTGCAGCTAAAAACTTTGTGCTGGGCAACCTCTCCGGTTTCCTCCAGGTAGTATGCAGTCATGGATTTCCTCCTATTGACTCAAAAAAGTCAGAGATGACGCAGTTGGCATTAATTCCTTGATGTTATGTTCAAGAATTAGTCCATATCGCCATTATGGCATCACAAAAAGGCAACAAATTGCAAGCATGGTTTATGTTACAGCCCCAGAAATGTGTTTTAACATCAAATACTGTATTTTTAGCCCGAAGTATGAAAACGTCCATATGTATATAGTTAGAAGAACTGCCTGGGGCCCCAGAAACCACCATTTTCAAGGGCCTCTAATGAAAAATATGTCATCTGTTTGTGCCTTTCATTCATTTGTATCTGTTGTACACTGTTTTTTTTTTTGAAAAAACAAAAACCTTTATCTGATTTGACACAGAAGGACCCTACAAATACTGTATCTGTTAGTGCTTATTAACATTCACCGCAATCCTGCAAGTTTAGTTTTATTACCAGGTTGTCCATTCTTCTCCTCAATGAGTGGGGCACTGGGTCCTCCGGGGTATGGAGGAGGAGGGTCACTGGACATACTGGCCGGACGTCTGTATAGAGAAAGGTGTTCGGAGCTCACCTCACAACTCTCCAGGGGACTTCTACACAGAAAAAAAAAAACATGTACAGTTTCAGTCCCATTGCTCGTTACTCTCTGACACAGACTTCTATCAAGTCACAAAATGTTCCAACAAAAGTCAGAGGCTAATGAAGTACTTTGTGTAACTGCTGATGTCGATCTGCACATGTACCGCACATTTAAAAAAAAAAAATGCAGTGCAGTCTTGAGCAACTCCGTGATGGAAAACAGCGACTGATTGATAGTGTTTATTCTTTTGTTGCGTTCGTAGGAGAGTTGCCTGATATTATTACCTTTCAAAACCTAACCCTAACATAAAACAGACACTGTGGTGGATTAAAAGGGTTAAGTGAGCTGTACCAAAATCCAAAAATAAACAGTTATTAGTAACACTGTAAAGAGACGCTTACTCTTTTTAAGTTTAAGGCACCCTTGCACGGCCTGTTTTGGTGCAAGTTCGATGATTGAAGTGATGTACAAGTGTGTTACAGGGGTTCAATAACAGAAAGCCTGAGCACAATTTAATACAACAGCCCTAAAATAAATAACAGTTGTGAAACTCTGTGTGTAACTTCAGCGAGTGTCAGTGAGATGTTGCTGCCTCTCTGTGGTTATTATTGAAGCTATTTATAGTGTGTCGGTAAAAAGTCCAACAACAAAACATAATACAGGATTGTGAAAAGACCCCGTGCAGATCTTACTTATATGTGTAACTGTCAGCACATTCACAAAGACCTGGTAAACGAGCAAAGGTAACTGATGTAACTTATTTTAATAACTATTATTTTAATAAGTTACATATGCAAGGACGGGCAACATCTAGTAACTAGTAGAGACTGACAGTCTAACGTTAGTGGAGTTCATTCTGTAATTTCCCAAAACAACAACAATAATGTCACCTTCAGTGCTCAAAATGTACTCTTTCTCAGTCTCGCTCTCAACAGAACTGCCATAACTGGGCTCATAAATTAAACACCAAGTGTGCGACACCAAAAATAACTTAAAACTGAAGAGAAAGATCGTTGAAATATCACGTCCGTTAGAAATGAACCAATCCTCGCCAAATTAACGCTAACGCTTCTCAGCTAACCATTTGCTAGCTAACTTAGATGTTTGGGTTTTTTTTAAATCCTTTCCCAGATAATCCAGCTCAAAGCTACTTGCACAACTAACCATGAATAACTTGGTTACGTAATGGGGGCAAGCGGAAGCCAACGAGAATGTTAACTTAAATCGGGACGTGTATCTAAAAGAAGTCTCTCGCATGATTATTACCGTTAATTGACACTGTGGCTAACAGAGATTACGCGAAAAAGGTGTCAACGATGCTAGGGGTTGGCTGCTTAGCAGGTCGCAGAAAACCTTACCTAGCTCTTATATATTGTTGTATTGTATAAGTTGAGGAACGACTGACAACAAGTTTTTTGTTTGTACTCAGCTGGTTCAGTAACTACGAAAACAATTATGTGTTTGTGCAGCGAAAGCAATGCAAAAAATGTTTGCTAGCTGTCGTTAGCTAGCTAGCGTCGCCATACTAGGCACAGAAACAGAACATTATGCGCGAAACTTCATTTACAAATTAATGTACTAAAGGTCTGTGAAACATTGTTTCTGGTCGCGGTTGTAATAATGCAGCTGTCTGTATGCTCAAAAACAAATTACCTGCTTCAGTGAGAAAGGCAGCCTGTCCGCAGTGTTACTGAAGTTGTTTGACGTTAGCAGCTCCGTCCCTCCTGATGAGAGTCCACATCCGCTGAGACGGATTTACACCCGACGTCATTCATTATGTTTTACACGGTGACGGTATGTATCAAAACGGGGGCACCTGGCAAATGTATATAATTACATATTATTAACTTAAAAAGTAAACAGCCCCCCAAAAATTAAAATTAAATAAATATATTTATTTTAAAAGTCTTAACCGGAAGTGTTAGTATGATGTCGTGTGTGCTTTGACGCTTCCAGCAAACAGTGGAAATTTCTGGTATTGTGTCTTCAGGGAATTGTTTTAAAAAAAATTGGAGGTGTTGATTTACCTTCACGCTGTGACTTTGATGTTCCAAAACTTTCTATAAAACTGTCTGCATTCCATTTACAAGTACTGATAGGAAAGTACTGAACAACCACAATTTTACTCTCCATGATGTACACATCTGGGGTGGTAGATTCATTCTCTTTAGAAATAAGTCCCTGTATTTCAATGAATGGCTGGAAAACAATATTTGGTCTGTCACCCATTTACATTACATGAACATTTATTTATTTAGCTGACACTTTTATCCAGAGCGACTTACAATTGCTCAGGAACACATTGGTGTCTCACAGTGGATTCAAACTCAAACCAAATGCATGTGTCTTATCCACTGAACCATCACCACCCCTTAGAAAACTATGGAAATGTTTTATCTTTTGAAGACATTGGTACAAAATTTAGTTTTCACTGCAACTGTAAACATTATGATAAGGTTGTCCAAAGCGTCCCATCCTGCTTTCTTTCTAATGGCAAAAAATACACTACCTCAAATGTTCAATCCCCTCATCTTCCTTCATTGATGATTGCTGGTCACCAATTATCTAGTAAGACTTTGCAAAACAAAGTGTTCTGTGATCTCTTTACTCTCTCTTTATATCCAATGCAATACAGCTGAAACTCTGCTTCTCATATCTTCAGTCATTCTTTAAAACACAGCCTCTATTTATGTCTTCAAGAAAGAATTTGCATTGCACTACAAATCCCTGTTGTTTATGAAGAAAAAAACAGCAAAAGTTTTCATTTGTTACTTTTCTTTATCTTCATTTATTCTATTTTTTCAATTATTATTTTACTTTAATTTATTTTTTTCTTTAAAGATGTTATTCTTGCTCCGTTTCATGTAAGCACTAATGTTGACTATGCCAGATATTGATGTAAATTTTACACCTCAATAAAAAAAGAGATAGAAGGAGGAAACATTTAAAACAGCTTTAATGTTGTTTCACAGTGAAAATAAACTTTTTTAAAAAGTGTCAGCACAGTCCAACTGTAGAAATAAATATATGCCGATAAATATATGTAAAAAACAACAACAATATAATCATGTTATATTCACTGCCCTCCAATGGCCACAGTGAGAAACTACACGACGAAAATTAAAACAATTATCACTAAAACTAACATTGTCACTAACACCTGTCATTTATTATCATTATGTTATTATATATTACTATTATTAACAATTATGCAGGTATCAACCCTGCGTGTAAGCCACGAATGTAATGTTCAGCGAATGGTTTTAATATCATGTCGTATTGAAATTATGATTACGATTAAATATTATTGTAGTTGGTTCATTCAGTTTCTGTTTGGTTACTTTGTTTTGAAAGGCCTAACCGGAAGTATAATATCTGGATTGACGCTATTTTATTAATTCAATAAAGTGTAGTTCTTAACTATGACCACTAGAGGGTAGTTCTGAGAACACTCTGCTCAACCACATGGGTCCGTCATACACACAGCTTACACATCTGCCAAGTTGGACAATATCTGAACAGTTCGAATTAGTAAATGAATAGTGGTGACTAGAAGAAGCAAGCTAGTTTATTATTTTTATTTTATCTTTATAATGTTATCTTCTTTTTTGGGGTGTAGATGTGTCTGCCACATACGCAATGCTGCAGTTCTTCGCTGCGACCACTGGAGGGCAGTGAACATTCATCTTTCTAAATACACTCAACCATAACACCAACACTTCAGATAAAAGTTTTATATTGTTATTTTTATGTTTCTGCATATTCAACTTTTACTTATTTTACAGTCCGTGTGTGTTATGTGCCTTAATGAGAAAATAAAGGAAACAGCTATAACAATTGGCCGACCCCTCCCACCCTGCACACAAAGCTTTTCAGACACTCTCCTCCAGCAGAAACAAAACCTCTCGCCACAAGAACACTTTCTTTTCATCTGCAGCAGACCTCCTCAACAAGGCCCGGGTCCCCCCACTGCCCCACACCACCACACCTGACACCACACATTACAACAACACTCAACTTTGAACTATTAGGGGAGAACAGGGTGATTTGAGCCTGTGGGGAAGTTGAGCCACCCCTTGTTTCCCGGCAACCATGGACAAAATTGGTTATATGAATACCTATTTTTGAAGAGTTAATCATTTTACTCATCCTGTGGTGGAGAGAGGCCCATGGAATAAGTGATAAGTGATATTTTATGTTCAAGGAGTCCTGATTCTTGTGTCTGAGCAATTACAGACAGGTTTGAAAAAAATCTTATGCATGTGTTAGTGCTTTAGGAAGTTACAATATGAGGCTATACCTTTAGCATGACATTACTCTTAAACATTTTGTTAAAATGGCAGGGAAGGGGTAATTTGAGCCAAAATACCTGGGGAAAGTTGAGCCAGATATTTTACTGTAATGATGTGACCAAAAACCATCATGTCAGGCTTCTATGAATGTTAGACAGACAGGCTTTATCTCCTCTTGTGGGAGAGGTACAAAATGGGAAGTCCATTCATCAGGTGGCACGGGACTTGGCAATCAACAGGATGACTTTAAAGCAATACATTGATATGAAACAACTAGGAGACATAGTTGAAATGTTTCACTACTAAATGCAATTAAAGTTTGGGAACTGGCAATTCAGTTTGCATGATAAAATGCCATTGATGTCACTGGCCCCCATGTGGGTGAGTCCACATTTTTTTGGAAAGCCATATTTTGAAAACAGTTTATTTTAGATCTAAATTGATTATTCCCAGGGATGCACCACATCCTAAAATATATGTACATATTTTAGTTGGAGACATTACTGTTATGTCCTCACTTTAAAGACACATCAAGTAAAAACTGTCTCAACTCACCCTACTCTCCTCTAAATTCTTTATAGCTCAAATTGTGAATTTTAGCGCATTCCTTGTTAATTATCCTGTATTTGTTTTGCATTGTTTGTATTAATATTGTACTATTATTTTGTATACCTGTACATTTTTAATCTCTTTACTTTTTCTATAATAGTTCTGTATTTATGTTCATGTGTAGCTTCTGTTACATAACCAATATATACCAAGGCAAATTCCTCCTATATGAAAAATGTATCTGGCAAAAAACCCGATTCTGATTCTGTTTTGACTCTACCTTTTTGTTGTTGTTGTTGTTGTTGTTGTTGTTGTTGTTGTTATGGTATGGTATGGCTTCATCTAATTTGTCCCTAAACATTTATAAATTCAACCGACGCCCTTACGCTGACCCGCTGACCCCTTCCCCTCCTGACCCCTCCCCACCGGGCGGTCCCACCACGTCGAGCGAACGCCCTGTATCTCTGGAAACGTTTGGAGACAGCCAATCAGCTTGACTCCCTGCTACGTTAGTCGTTAGCTCTGGCAAAACAACAGCCCGTCTCTCTATTTGTTTCCTGTTAACATTGGCAGTCCCAACGCGGCCACTGAAAAACGGAACGTGTAAAATGTTAAATTAACGCGAGCGTGTGTTTCTGGTCGATGTTATCTGTGTTTTTTGGCGTTAGAGGACGCGGAAGGCAGAGCTAATCGGAGCAGCGGACGCGCTGTTAGCTCCTTGCTAACTGTAGCTATCGTCGGCTGTCCAGCTGAAAACGATGGGGTCCATCCTGAGTCGCAGAATCGCTGGTGTCGAGGACATCGATATCCAGGCTAACTCGGCCTATCGATTTCCACCGAAATCCGGTATGTGATTGTATCTTGGGTGAATTCAGGTTTCCCATAAACGTGGATCTTGTGAGGTAACACACTTGGTTAGCTAGTTCCTCTCTGTTGATTATCATTAGCTATAAAACCGCTAACTAGACAACGATTGGAAACATAAATGCGCCTGATTGCTGCAGATGGATCACTTAGAAGATCCTGTGATATTTACATTATGTACCAGACATTCTGCAGAGGACCGTCAGATGAATCCAAATTGGTTTTATTATTAAGTTACTAGCATCGTGATCACAACGCATTTAATCATTGGGTGTCCAACAACACACACTTCGACTAAGTTTGATCCACATTTAATAGATGCTACAAGTGTATTTAAATTAAGTCTGTCGTAGTGTTTTATTGCACTTTCACTTTGTAGTTTTAAGATGTTTTCAAACAATTAAAACATAGTAAATATAAAAAGTAGCTGAGAAGAGAACCTGAAAGTATAATATTAACCCATGCCTGTCTGAAATAGTTTTGGGATTTGAGTTTTGGTGATGTGGCTGTACTGAAATGACAAAACAATGGTTCTCCAAAGAGTCATGTTACACTTAAACTTAAACTGTTACACTGTTAAACTGTTTTATCTTTACATGGAGGTCATTTGAAATAATTGCCTATAAATTGAGTTATTGTTTACATTGACACAGAAAGAAAGAAAATGATCAGTATCACTATATTATATTGCTTGCAGTGCTTTTGTTAATCACTCTTTTTTTTTTTTCTCTCATCCTCAGGGAATTATTTTGCTAGCCACTTCTTCATGGGGGGAGAGAAATTTGACACACCACATCCAGAGGGATACCTTTTTGGTGAAAACATGGATCTGAATTTTCTTGGAAATAGGCCAGTGCAGGTGAGAACGGCTGTTTCTTCATCCGAGTTGTTTTAATCGTCTTGAGAATTCAGAGCTGTATATTTTCCACAGCTTTAAAAAAAAAACTGGTCAGTAACTCGATTCGTCAAACCATGTCGATAATTTAAAGTCAGATATCGTTATTCGTATTGCTGTTATTATTTCACTAGTTTCCATATGTGACGCCTGCACCCCACGAGCCTGTGAAAACCCTGAGGAGCCTGGTCAACATTAGAAAGGACTCTTTGCGCTTGGTCAGGTAAAGATAGCGAGACAATATTAAGATGAACTGTTTTAAGGAGAAGACTTTTGATTGTGCTGACTTAATGTTTGCCAAATCTCTTGATTGTAGGTATAAAGATGACTCAGACACTCTGGTGGAGGACGGTGGAAAACCAAAGGTTCAGTATGGTGTGGAGTTCACCTTTGATGCTGATGCCCGGGTGGCCATCACTCTCTACTGCCAAGCATTTGAGGAGTTCTCCAATGGGATGGCAGTGTAAGAATTTGATCTCAGATGAAGCTCTAGTAGCACAAAGGATGAGAAATAACAGAATCCGAACCTTATCAAGTCTTTCATTCATTAAAATGTAAGTGTCACATCTAAATCCATTTATGAATCCTGTCTGAATTCAGGATTCATTAAAAAACAGCTTCATCTAACTGACACAGCAGCTTCATTTCAGTGGAAAACATCGTGCCAGAGACATTGAAACTCTGTTTTATGGGTAGCGAGATTGTAGCCTTAGAGCACAACGACTAAAATAGATACGCGGGGTCCTTAGCAACCACCAGTCACCATGGATACTGCAGATAAGACATAGAAGAAGATGAAAGTAAAAGTTCATACTGAAGTTGATGTGTTATGATTCATCAGAAAGATCACATGTTGCTACTGTTCATTTTGTCGAGGGACACTAATGAATGGACCGGGTACTTAAAGATGACAGCTGCTGATAAATGTCTAAATGTCAGCTTTTGCCAAGGACTCCTTCATCTTTCTGCACACCGACCGTTCTTTCTCTGTAACTTACAGTTACAGCCCGAAGAATCCATTAATGGTCTCTGAAACTGTGCATTACAAGCGAGGGGTGAGCCAACAGTTCTCCATGCCGTCATTCAAGATGGATTTCAGTGAGTGGAAAGAGGAGGATGTAAGTATCTGAGGCAGTTAGTGGAGTTTGTTACAGGAGCACAAAAACAAATAGTCTCCATGAGTGTTTGTTCATGTCCCCTGCTTCCACTTACACAGCACTCTGACTTATTACACACAGGTACATGTCCTCTGTTTATAATGGCATCATTGAATAATATAATGATATCTTTTCCCTTAAAGCTGAACTTTGACCTCGACCGAGGAGTGTTTCCGATGGTTATCCAAGCTGTGGTTGATGAAGGGGACGGTAGGTCACTAGAGCTGCATTACAGTGAGGACAATTATCTTTTCTCTTGAAACTGGCTGTACAAATGTGAAATGCATATTTATGAAATAGGACAAAATATTAATTATATAAGGATTTGTACTAATACTTTCAATGTTAGCAGTTGAATTGTAAGCTTAAATACACGTCTGGGTCAACAAATGTGTTAACCAGGATACTCTGTGTTCTTTTCAAGATTGCCTTGGACATGCTCACGTACTTTTGGCAGCCTTTGAAAGAGTATGTATACATCTAAATATAAGTAATCACTTGTAATCTGTATAAAACAGGTTTTTATATAAGTAAAACATGTTTGGTTTTTTTTCTACCTCCAGCACGTTGATGGCAGTTTCTCCGTCAAGCCTCTGAAGCAGAAGCAAATTGTAGGTTTATGGATGTTCTCATTTCAGTATTGCCTTAAAGTTAAAAGTGGAATGTATTGTGGAAAAATAATTTTTATCTTGCTTTAATCTGTTAGTTGTTTTTTAATCACACCCCAAATCCTACTTAAGTAAATTGGGAAGCACTGTGTGTGTGTGCTACAGCATGTTGTTAATGCAATGCTGGAGGTTTGAGTGTCATTGACCTTCATACTCATTTGCAGCTTTTGAAAAAACTAAGCGCCACAAAAAAATTATCTGTGCTGATAACCATGGAAGTCTGGCAATAACACAGACAATGAATGTAAACTTATCTTACAGGCAGCTCAAAATAATTTCACATTGACTCTCAGATTTTTTGTGTTTTTAATCTGTCTACAGTACATGTTAAGGCAGATGGATTTAATTTTGAGGACTAAACACGACAGTGGAGAGAATAAGTTATACACTTTGCTTTCCAACTCCCTTGGACCTTATTGTCTTCATGGGCGTGGGTTACTGAAAACGTGAATGTCAAATTTCTGTTACTGTTTCTTTAGGTGGACCGTGTGAGCTACCTCTTACAGGAGATCTATGGGATTGAGAACAAAAACAACCAAGAAACCAAGGTTTCAGTGAAAAGATTGCCTTATCACAGTGCTTTAAAAGTTCATTCATGCTTTATTTGTTTCACTTTTAATTTGACATGTTTCCTTTTTCCTTTTGTTTCCAGCCATCAGATGACGAGAACAGTGACAACAGCAATGAGTGTGTTGTTTGTCTGTCTGACCTGCGAGACACGCTCATCCTGCCCTGCAGACATCTGTGTCTCTGCAACTCCTGCGCAGACACTCTGCGTTACCAGGCCAACAACTGTCCAATCTGCAGGCTGCGTAAGACGTCTTTCGTTGTTTTTAGTTCTGCTCTTTAAGGCGTTTTATTAATGCTATTTCAAGAGAAGTTTGTCTAACAAATTTCCATTATTACTGTGTTTAATTTGACCCCGTGTTCCAGCCTTCAGAGCCTTGCTGCAGATCAGAGCCGTGAGGAAAAAGCCTGGTGCTCTTTCCCCCGTGTCCTTCAGCCCCGTTCTGGCTCAGACTATGGACCATGACGAGCACTCAGTAAGTCTCATGCACATGTGTACGATCAGTTAAAATGTAGCTTAAAGAACTGTTGCAACATCAAGGGGAAACTGGGCATGAATCAGGTCTGCGGGATGCTGTATTGGAACAGATGAAAATCAAAAGTGTTAAATTAACTCCATCCCTATGTTAAAGTGTTTCACACTGATAGCACAATAAAAAAAGTCAACAGGGAAGAATGTGATCTAGATTTATACCAACTTTTATTGAGCAGCAAATTGGTATGTTGTGACTAACGGTTTTTCCTGGCTCAGAATGGGCCTTTGGGGGGGGGGGTGACTTCGCACGACAATAAGCATGATCGTTCAGCTGTTTCACAAATAAAACCATTTTCTGATATTAGCCTACACCACTGTGGTTCAGGTTTGATTAGTGCTAATGTTTGGATATTCATCATAATTTCAGATAATAGTAGGCTATAATCTACTATAGTTTACCTTTAGTAGCCTATAATATTAATTCAAGTTGGACAAAACAGCAGTTTCATTTGTGTGGGTTATTAAATTATTGTGCAAAAAAAATAGTCTACATGGTGGATAATCTATGATTTGTTTATGCAAATTGCTAACTTGTCAGTAATAAAAACTGTGCATACAGAACAACAAGTTCAACATTTCTAAAGTTTGCTGTAGTGCTGTAATTTCCCGCCTCCTCCTGGTTGTGACTGGTTGGTTCATGAAAAGTGACTTTAACGAGCAACTAATGCACACGGCTGCATGAAAGGCTCCCGATTTCCCTGCGGAGATTAGCAGGCAGGAGAGAACGGGAACAGGTGAGCGTCACGTAGTCCTCTCCAGATCTGGAGAGGGCGAAAGAGAGTCCCTGTGCCGGTACGCCAAAGACTAAAATATAAAAGTGACAGTACCGGCACACTTTAAGCACAAACGGCTTTTATGGTGTGAGAAATAACAGGAAGTCATTAGCGTAAGATTTGTAGTGGAGCATTCAGGTGCAGTCAAACCAACCAGCAGCTCGTTTATTAATTCACCGCCTGCTGCATGTGTGTGCTACAGCGGCTGTGGATGAGAGGAGAGGTGACTGCTGAAAGTCAAGACGTATTTAAGTTTGTGTTCTGCTTGCTCAACAGTTGTTGGATAAATGGCTATTAAAACACATTCGAAAAACCCTGACCAAGTCAACACCTCCATAATAATAATAATGCTCCATCCTAATAATCTGCCTGCAGCTGCTTCAGAGTTGATTCCTAGGGGCTTCCAGGATCCCAAATAAAAGCAAGGCGAGAGCTGCTGGATGTTTTTGTTAAGCAGTGGCAGAAAATGGATGTATATGAAATGTTGCATTAGCCACCAAAACCTAACCTGTTTCTCCAGAACAGACTGTCAGACGTTTAGATTTCTTTATTTTGATTTGTCTTTTTGCAGGGCACGGACTCGGTTCCTCCCGGCTTTGAACCCATCTCGTTGTTGGAGGCTCTGAATGGTCTGAGGTCGGTGTCTCCTGCCATCCCATCTGCTCCCCTATATGATGAAATCAACTTCTCCGGAGGTCTGGGAAGCGACAGCAGACAGCTGAGCTCCCCGGAGCATTTAAGCGATGGGAGTCTGCAGAAAGGCAAAGTCAGCAAGTCACCCGACAGGTAACCTCACAATGAGTATGTTTACGTGTGCATGCAAACACACAAACATAACCGTAAGAAAGACTGTTAGGACAGGAAATGCGGTTCTGTGTAAGACGTTCGTGTCCAAGTTTATTCTTAAGACTACAACACCTGGCGGGTGTGGTGTGATTGTAGTGAAGGTCTGTGTAGGTAGCTGTGATCGATTGTTACCTGTTCTACTTGTGTCTTTATTCATTGATGAATATTTGTTTGTTGCCTTGTCACCCACCCCAGCACCCTTAGGTCTCCATCCTCTCCCATCCAGGAGGAAGATGAGGAGAAGCTGTCTGAGATGTCTGATGCTCAGCCACACACAATGCTGTCCACCAGCCCCGCCCCCACAGACGTAAGCTGCCACCTCACTACCGGAAATTTAAACTTTGACCGCAAACCACCACTTTAACAAGATGTTTTTCCTTCTTCCTCCAGGCCACGGCAACCGAGGACGTGGCAGAATCCCTGTCTCCAGACGATGGTGAGTTTTCTCATAATTATGTGACACTGGTAAAGATTTGTTGGCTTTGAGAGTTAGATTCATTGACATTTACTCCTCCCGGGTGATCCAGAAGACAGGATGCATTCTGGGGGAGACATCCTACAGGACTGCAGCAGTGAACACAGCAGCTTGACCAAAACAGAGAGCGACCCACCGGGCGACTTGTCTCTGCCAGGTAAGAAATCCTTGACGAATAATTGATGGGTGGCGATGGCTCAGTGGATGAGACACATGCTTTTGGTGTGAGAGACCTGGGTTCAATTCTCACTGTGACCCATCCACAATTCTGTCCCTGAGCATGACACTTAACCCTTAGTTAGGGCTGGGTGGTATACGAGGTATACCGATATAATTTCAAAAGAGATATGAAATTAGTTAATACCGTTTATATCAATATAGTTTGATGTTGAGTTAATTAATGTTTGCGTAAAGTCCTGCCAGCATTTGCTCCTCTCTCCCTCACCGCGCAGCCCCTCCTCTCCATCTGCGAGGGGAGGGGCAGACTCTCAACATTGCTGGTCGACACTGTTAAAGACCGGGCTTGTAAAAAGAAAAACACGGTTCATTCAGTGTTTCCCACACATACACTTTACTTCGGCGGGCCGCCCAGGTTAGGCGACACATTGGAGCATTTATCAGAGAAACACGGTGATTATGTTACAAGTCATGACACTGTGGATATTTTACAAGAGCGGACCAGGTAAAGTGACAGTGAACACACCAGTCAGGTGTTATTCGTTAGCTACCACGTTGGCTTTGTTTTGATAGGCTACGTCGTCAACACACCTCCTCAACATGCCTCTTAGCAGAAAATACAGATATATATTTTATACGGAATTCTGCCAAATAGTACCGGGATATGACTTTTTGGCCATATCGCCCAGCCCTACCATTAGTTGCTCCAGAGGCGTACGACCTCTGACATATATAGCAAGTAAGTCTGTCTTGTAAGTCTCTTTGGATAAAAGCGTCAGCTAAATTAATAAATGTAATGAATTGACTACACACACAAATAACAGCATTGTCAAATACAAATGGTCTGGTTCTTATTTGCTTATTTTTGACATCTTTCTAGCTGATAAATCTGTCCTGGTTCTCTAATATTTCCCTTCTTAAATCCAAGACTCAATCCGTGTTTCCTTGTGCTTTGCATCTAACATGTCTGCTCTTCTGCTTCTCTGATTCCTAACACTCTTCTGTTCCCTCCTGTCCTGTCACTTCGTACCGCCTCACTTTGGGCAGCTCTAGGTCCTGATTCCTGCTCTATTGGTTTGGAGGAGTAACCGTGGTATGTAGGCTTTCCTGTCTGCTCTGCTTCTCTGTATATGAGTTGTACTACTGAATCCTGTTCCATTGTTGTTTATCACAGCTAGAAGGACAAAAAAAGACCCAGCAGATAGCTTTTTAACGTAGACAAGATGAATAGTGACAGCTGCTTCTTATACACTGTCCTTATGTCACGTCTGACTGGAAACTTCCCTTTGAGCCATGCTGATAATCTGTTGCTTCTTCCTCGTCAGGGTCATCAACAGAGTCAACAGAAAGCCTGAAAAGTCAGAGCACAAATTGCTCCAGTCAGCCTCTCCTGTGTCCCACAAGCAGCCTTCATTTGGAGGATGAACACCCCTGACTCTGATCCAGCTGTTTCCCTCCCATGCATCAGAACAGATTCATGCTTTACAAAGATCATCCAGTCCCTCTATTCCTTCTACCCTCAGTCTTCAGATTCTGTGATCAGCCCTGAAAGGAAGTTTACTTGGATGAAGGAGTACTCTGTTTATACCATCAAGGTTTCTGACATTAAAAAAAAGAAATGTGACTCCTGCAAAGATGCTCTTGAAACCTTACCTTATGACTGATGGTTTAAAAAAAAAAAAGATATTGTTTCCTCAGATCTGAAAACATTTCATTAACTGTCAGATGGTGTTCAGTTGTGTGTCTTGGCCCAGAGTTGTGGTCTAGTAATGTGGATTTCACAGAGATATTTCACTGCCTGTCATAGGTGGTGCTTTTAAGCACACGTACTTTAAATTAACTCTATTGATTGCTTGACACTAAATTCACAGGAATTTATAAATACTGTTTGTGTTTAGTATATTGTATTCATCAGTGAAATACATGAATGACTTGTTTTTCCAGTCAGTTGAATTTGGGTTATGAGCAGAAATTTAAAAACATATTGTATCTGTGTGTCTACTTGAAGTGATTTTGCACTCCGACAAAATCATTTATAATCCATTCCTTATATTAACTTTATGATGAGATTACTATTAAGTTGTATGCGGTCTTAAACATCGACATGCCATTATTTCAAATGAAGTGATATCATATGTACTTAACTGTACCATAACTGTACTAGAATCATGTGTTGTTACTTTCAAAATTGTATAGTTGCATATATTACATAGAGAGAAAAAACCCCTGATATTAAAGCAGTGGAAGTAGATTAAATTAACATGCACATTATTTAAGACTTGGATAATCGATTAGAGCTACAGATTCACACCCTAACAGCTAAGCTCAAAGATAGCTAAAGCCTTCAACAAGTATCGATGCTCCAGCTAAATGTATGCTGACTCAGCATGGCACAGTAAGCGTGCTTGTTGTAGATGTGGCAGATCTCTGTACAGTCTTTTTGTGGCAATGCCAGCGTCTGCTTATGTGATGTAGATGCAAAAAAAAAGGGGGCGGGCGTTTGTGTGGCTGTTACGCAGTTACTTACCGTGGTCCTCTATGTGTAGCGCCATGCATATAGATCTATGTGCCTTGAACTGGTATGGCTGCCTGCTTGTTGCATTGGACATTAGTGTTCTTATAAATGCTACAATATACACGTTTCAGCCCGTAGACAGGATTTTGTACAGAGCCTTTCTTTTTTCTTTTTTTTATCGCAAACTTCATGCTACTGGAAAAATGTATCTTGTTATTGCAATATTCAGTTGAACTGTTCATTTACTATGTTATGACCATGTGTCAATTATGCATTTAATCTTAGTATTTAGGTTCAAGTGGATTCTCTTACTGTATGTTTGATTAGAAGGAACCCATCCAATGCAATAAATGAAAACTTTTGCATTTTAATAATCAGGCTAGCATTTGCATGTGAATTTGTAGAGGTGTAAACCTCTCACTGCTTTTAAGTAACATGGTTAATTTGTCTTTACCCCTTCCCTGTCTGTGCCATTTCATCTTGACACTGTGCCTTCCTGTCCTGACCACTATTGACCTGGTATCCAGGATAACTCCACAGTAGGTGGTTTGTGGCTCTCTGTAGAATCAATACCTGTCTTTCCTCGTGTGTATAGCAGCATGTGTATAACAATAAAGAGCAAAGATTCAGTACTTCAACAACCAGTTTTTCTGATTTATTACAATACTTAGTTTCTGTTTATTTGTCTGCAAATCTGTTGCCCACCTACTGCAATGTCATTATATTTGATGAAAATATTTAATTTGGTCAGAATTTGAGCTTTGGGTCCTAAAGTAAAATGACTGCTCATTCCTCTGACATTGCTAAGATTACGACTTTCTAAAATTAGTACTGTTATCTAGATAAAATTACTCACCCATCACCAGAGAAACACTTTATGGGGAGGTGTAACGTGAGCTAATTGTTGTTAAATCTGGATGCAAATTCAAAGGAAGGAAAGCAACACAAGGAAATGAAAAAATATTGTGAGGGAGAACACTACACACAAGGAATGCTGGATAATAATAAAAAAGTAATTGAAAGAGAAACATCTAAATCTAGGGACTAAATCACTGTTCCGTTATCAAGTAATGTTTGCATGTCTGTTAATGTTCTGTGAAAACAGACTCGACTTTCACTCTTTACATATATATATTAATTATTTTACATTTAAAACTCATTTCAAATTCAAAGCTATTATAGTAATAGACACATGTCTTGGGCCTGTCATGATGGGATGTTACGCCAGATCAGGTGAGAATAGTTCAGGCAGATAAACTACTGTTCACCTTTAACAGCAAAAAGCTTTTAGGATTAGTTTTTAGCACATATTGGCACGTGCACTGTACATTTCTGTGTGTATGTGTTAGGGTGCGGATGAGCCAGACATATGTAAACCAAACCTGCTGGGGGGCCCTCTGCTGGCAAAGCAGGCAACAAAACTGTCCTGTGGATTTTGGATCCCTGCAGTTTTGCATATAACATGTGGACTATGGACTGCTGTAAAACCATGAAGTCAGACTCGGTTAATTTTCAACCTGAAAGGCTTTGTGGACCTGTGAGTTTCTGATTGACATATGGTTAGGATTTCTGTTTGGTCCTGTCCTGGAAGGCTGACCTTAACCTAAACCTAACCTTAAACCAAGCCTTCAACTTAAAATGTACAGATTTATGTTATGGGGATTATGGCGTTTTATTCCCAAAAGGAAGGCAAGTCTCCACAATGTGATTGTGTAAACAGATTTATTTCCCCACAACATGAGTATTACATGTCCACACCATCTCACACATACACACACACACACACACACACACACAAAGCTCACTTACATTCTCTCTCTCATAACAAAAGTTAACAGGGTTCCTGTTAAATCCTAGCAGCTGTACTAGGATAATAAGTGTCATACAGTCTGTACTCTGGTTTCAGTTGAACATTATTTTTACAACCTCACCTGAGACAGCTCCATAGCAGTTAGTGCTTAACTGATGTTGCTAAATCGATCCTTTTCTCAGACTGGTGTCTAAGAAAATATGACATCTTTTATCTAGCTTATTTACTTAGAGGTACTGTTTATCACAGTTGTTTTGGGATTGCTGCTTTGTGATTTACTGGAATATTGTTTTTCCATGATCATCTTACCGCTATTACCAAATGCAGATATTTTACACTACAACACTAGGCAATAATTCAATCTAGGTTTTATATTCACATTTTATTATGCTATTAAAGGTTTGTCTAACATCAGAAATTTTTGAAAACATTGCAAAATAATTTATTCGCTTATGATCTGCAGTGAAACACACATGAAGCTAAAATAATGTAGGATAATGTATTTTTCAGCGTATGTGATCTTATGTGTAGCATTTTTTTCTCATCTTCTCAACAAACAAGTTCATACATGTTTTATTTAGTGCTGTTAGCCTGCTGTTGTGTGACAGTTCATTTCTGGAACTACTGAGCTCTATAAGGTGTTTCATATTTCAAACAAATTCACATTCTTCTGCAGTGAGTGTTGCTCTCTGCTCAGCTGGACCAACAGGTGTACACCAGTGTAAAGTTTAACTAGGATTCATTTACACTTTGGCCTCAAGCATGCCTGTAAAAACATAATACACTGAGAAAACGTGTGCGCACGTTTGTAAATGCTGTAAATGAGATTAGGGTCTGTGACAGTTTCAGCTGGAGGTCAGTGGGTGAGGTTATAATGTATACATATACAGTCAGACTTTAATCTTTTATCAGCTCTCATATGTTGCATTCACAACCTTTTTAAATATTATTACCTTGTCTGAAAAGCTGAAACATGTTTCAGAGATTCTCAAAATTCAACCATGTCATACGAGAACTGCCCCTCCCCTCACAGGCCACATGGACAGACACCGCTGTAGGTCAGGAAAGGGCATTTAATCTCTGGACAACCGTGTATGTGTTCGCCTCGAACATCTGATGATCTCACGGGCAGAGATGTGGTCGTATTGGGATTGGCCAGCTATCCAGATGACGTGGGAGATGCCCCATTCATCACTGTAGTGGAGGCCAACAGGAAGCAGTGGGGGGGGGGACATTAATCCTTAAAACAAGTTTATTTTGGTTTGATCTCTTGAGGGCACAAAACATTATCAGGGCTAAGCCTCAAGCCAGGCGATTGTGGTGTTTTCTGAAGAGAAATTAAAAGCTAAGACCACTTCACTCCACACCCCTTCTGTTTACTTTGATAATTTTACAGATTCTTGAGAAAGAAACATTGTGGTAACGTTAAATCAACCAAGAATACAGTTTTAAACTGTCAAACTCTTGCAACACCATAATAAACTATCATTAAAAGTCAGGGCCTTATTATCCTTTAGATGAAAATTTATGATATAGAGCTTTAAGATTAAAGAATAATGATGGTGAATTTAAAGGACTTGTCTGTGTAAGCAGGTTTGCCTCGGGGCAGTCAAAGCAAGTTGTCTCTCATTTAATTAGTCTGTGCTAAACCTCTTTGTGGCATGAAATCATCCACCCAAATCTTCTCTCTCACTCAGTACAGCTCAATTAGCCCACATGCCCTTGATCTCTGAAAACACACATGTCACCACTTCATTTGACACCATGTCTGGCTCATCCGCACCCTAACACATACACACAGAAATGTACAGTGCACGTGCCAATATGTGCTAAAAACTAATCCTAACAAAAGCTTTTTGCTGTTAAAGGTGAAAAGTTATATAGTTTATCTGCCTGAACTATTCTCATCTGATCTGGCATAAAATCCCATCAACAAAAACAGATCACACAGTGAATATTTAAAAATGCCAAAGAATTTCTTAATTAAGGCATGGGAAATATACAAATGATTGTTGTCAGCACCCTAAACTGAGGTTAATCCAAACCAGAGTGTAGGCTAATTATAACTAGACTACAGAGTTGTCTGTGTTTGAAAGCAGGGGATTTAGAGACTTTGGAGACACGTGCAGGGACAGCTATCTTACTTTGAGATGACCACTTCACAGTATGAAATCAGAGATAAAGAAGAGGTAGAGGAGGAGACAGCAGGAGACACACGGAGCTCAGCGTCTTGCCTAGTGAAGTGAGTTACATTACATTCAAGAGCTGCAGGACAATCAGAGAACAGGGGAAAGTTTTGTTGGCTTTGACTGCATCATTTATCAGTCTTACACTGGTATTGCAAAAGGCTAGAAGAAGAAGAAAGAAAACAGGTTAACAAAAGACTCCGGACAAAGAATCTAAACCTCCGTCTTGTATTATTGAGGCATCATGACACAGCAAGTCAGTGGCTCGCCGTTCCTCAAGCCCTTCTTCCTGAAGATGCCTGTGAGAGTGGTGAGCCCCCTGCAACAGAGACGACACACACTCCCCGCCAGCGAGTTCAGGAACCTAACGGCACAGGACGCCATCAGTGTGTTTGAGATTGAGAGAGAAGGTAAGTCAAGTTTCTGCTGAATATTTGTCAAAAATCTTCAACTTTTTTTTTTTTATAAACGTGTATAAAGGGAATTCATGTAGGCCTATGTGTTTTTCATTGTGTCACTGGAGACATTTCTTTCATTTGAAGTCTTTTTCTGATCTCCATCATCATTACTCCCATAACACAACTGGTTCTTTTCACCCCCCAGCATTTGTCTCTGTGTCTGGAGAGTGTCCACTTACCCTGAATGAAGTGCTTAACTTCCTTGGCCAGTGCCCGGAGCTGTCGCTGGGTTGGTTTGAGGAGGGACAGCTGGTAGCTTTCATCATTGGCTCCGGCTGGGACAAGGAGAGGCTTTCACAGGTATAAACTGTATAAAGAATACAATATCAGCAAACTTGCTTTTCCGTGTGAAATTTAGCTCATGGATACTTTGACATCATTAATGCTTTTATGCTATTTATCTCTTTATCTCCAGGAGGCAATGACTCAGCATGTCCCAGACACCCCCACTGTGCACATTCATGTGTTGTCAGTGCACCGTCACTGTCGCCAGCAAGGCAAGGGCTCCATCCTCTTGTGGCGCTACTTGCAGTACCTGCGCTGTGTGCCGGGCCTCCGTCGAGCTCTGCTGATTTGCGAGGACTTCCTCGTGCCTTTCTACCTCAAGGCCGGCTTCAAGGAGAAAGGGCCATCAGCCATCTCTGTATCCAACATGCAATTCCTAGAGATGGAGTACATGCTTGGTGGGCAGGCGTACACACGGCGGAACAGCGGCTGCTAGTCCATCAGCCTCTATCCCACCCTCCTTAAGATTAACAAAACACAGCCAGCAGATGGACAGATAGAGGCGCAGAGCCATTATGCACCAGTGGACTGGGTTCAGTATTGGTAGCAAGATCTTACCGGACCTTGTAATGTCAGCACCACACAGTATCCCACTGAACAAGGAGACAGGACTATGAGAGGACAGAGGGGACTAAGAGTGGATTCATGCAAGAGCAGTTGATCCTTTTTCCATCTTGGCTTTTTGAGATTAATTTTGTTTTCCCATTTAATTATTGTTATTTGTCAAATACTTCACAATTCACTGTTTGTAATGTAACCATGGCAATTCATTGAAAATTTTGTGATGTATATACCGTTCTATTTTGCTAAACCATATGAATCAAGAGGTGTGTTGAACTCATAGGGTCATGACTGTAAAAGTGAGTTACTTGATGATCATGCTGGGATCACTATAAATGCTTGGATTGTAAATTTGCAGCAGAAATCTTTGTTTTTGCATAATTTTAATAAACTATAAAACAATCTTCAAAAGGCATTTCCTGGTAATTGAAAGAAAGTCACGGACCATTGTAATTTGTATATTTCTTTTTTTTTTTTTTACTGTTTTCAGTTACATGTGAGTAGACAGGTAGCTAAAACACTACCGTGTTCAAAACAATCATCACTTCTTGAGAAGCAATAAACAAATAAAAGAAAACATTTGAGTGCTCAGCATAATGTAACAAAAATATGGCAGTAGTTGGTACATTTGTCAACAAGGCACCAAAGGTATCACGATTTCATTTTTGTCCCTGCTTCTGTATGAGATTGCCTGAATAATTATAAAACCTGTTTATTTCTGGAGTGTGAATGTAAAAAAAAAAAAAATCCCTTCTCTCTGTACCAGTGCCAGCTTCTCTAATTTCTGCCTCACATGTAAAGGGCAACTGGGAGCTTTAATGAGGTTCAGAAGTGCCATACCTTTGTTTCACTGGACAGTGACGAAGTGACAATGACTGTGGGTAAACAGGTGAACAGGGAGGTGATTAAAGGAAGTCCTTAAGATGCGTGGCATAGGTATTCATACAGAGTAAAAAAAAAACAAGTACATTGTCACTGTTCACAGGGGAGGGAACAGTCATACAGGAGCAGAGTGGAGACACAGACTGGCTTTTGACCTGATGCCCTCCTGTTGCGCTCATTGTGTCCACACTTCAGTGTAGGTGAGCATTGAGGTCGTACTTCTCGCAGAACTTGTCCGTGAAGGGGATACAGGTGAGCAACTCGCACCATTCACACTTGATTGGGTAGACGTAGAAGAGCACCACGAGGCCTGAGAAGAGCCCAACAAACACCAGCAGGAATACAATAATCTGACAGCGTTTGCGGTACAGGTCCATCCGGCCAAAGCTGATGTAGGGTAAGAAGGCGAAGGACAGGAAGAAGCCAGAGATGAAGCCACATATGTGGGCAAAATTGTCGATCCAGGGCAACAGCCCAAAGGCAAAGAGGAAGAGCACTACACACAGAAGCTTGGTGAAAGCCCTCCAGGGCTGGGCAAGGATCTGCCAGCTCTGAAACAACTCCACGAACAGGCAGGCCAGGATCCCAAACTGAGAGCCGGCAGGCCCCACCTGAGACAGACAGCAGAGAGAGGAATATAAGACTGCAAACAAAGATCAGCAGTGTTCCAATTACATGTATTTAAAGTACAAATTTAATCACTTCTGAGTATTTTGTAGTTTATATTTTGCTGAGCAGAAAAAAATAAGGGGTAGTTTGTAACTACTACGTACTACTAGTAAGAAGTATTTGAAATACATTATTTTATATGTCATTTTATTCTCTAATACGACACATTTTAACCCCAGGTTTAAGGTTTAGGGGGAAAAACTGTACAACAATTAGCCTGATCACAGTCTTTAGCTAAATGCAAGTGAATCATGTGGTCTGTCCTGTCAAGTCCTGCAATGCGCTCATTGTAAACTACCATATTTCATTTGTGTTCCTCGTGGCCAGTAGCTTGAGGAAAGAAGCTGCTTCGGGTTTTGGTGCACATGTCTCTTTAGATAAAGGTATGTAATCAAATGCATGTAGTTGCCCTTGATTCAGCCCTCCATGGATAACTATGACCTGGAAAACTGAGAATCTTCACAGACATGCTAAGCCAAGCTTACTGAATGACACCAAAATACAAATAGAAATCTGCAAACACGTGTCCTCTAGAACGTGTACTCCTAACTCCAAGATGTCCTGATTGGCCACTTAAAATGTATGAAGGTCAGGCCCATAGTGAGGCTACTTAAGCTCTTAAATGTGATAATATCCATTTGTATAGAATGTGTTTTAATATTTTTAAATGACAAATCACTTTTCTCATATCAGTATTTTGAATATTATTTTGATATTTCGCCATGCACTGATACTTGTGAGTGTTGGACAGGTGATCACCTCTGCTCTGTAAGGCAGGAAGATGGCTGAAGCTAAGTTGCCAGTGATGCCACTGAGGATGTAAATGATTGAGATGCGCAGCCAGCCCGCCAGCTTCTCCAGGTCCCTCAGGATGGTCATCTGGAAAGCCACCGACACCAGGCAGTGAAGGATCCTGGGAGGACAGAAATAGACAAAGCGTGCGTAATGTGATGAACGCGTGTGTGGGTAAAAAGCAGCACGTGTAGGGAAGATAATTCCTTTGTGGAGAAGAGGCAAATCCCTCAGCAGCCAGATGACTTTGCCCATCAACAAAATCAGTCTCTATCTCATAGAAGCTTAATGAGTTTGTCTAGCCAGGGCACTTTGTTTAATTACCGAGGAGTCTGATAACACTGCTCCTCGTAACAGTAAGGTCAGCTCTTTGTGCTGACTGATTTCTTACATCAAAGGAAGATATATAGAAGTACTAACTGATAGCAAGTGATGTACGTTAAGCCACCCTGTGTACAATTTTTTTGACTACCTATAAACTTTTCTATTATTTTTATCATCCTGATGCACTCTCATTTCTTACACATACAGTTAGCAACTAATCCCCTGAGCTTTAGCCACTGTATGTTCTTTTGTTCGGTGGCTGTTTATGTTGGTCTTCTGTTTTATATCTGTCTTTTACACATTAGCTGAATGTCTCTTTATCTTTCTGTGCATTTGTTTTGTTGCAATATGACTATGAGTACACCAAGAGCTACTGATAACCACAGTCAATATTCTTGTATGTGAAAACATATTTGGCCAAAAAACCTGACTCTGATTCTGATCTTTTAATCATACTGTTCCTCACCGCTGGGTGCAAACACAGTCCTTGAAAACACGGATGCTAAATTGTGCTCCTGGTTAGCAAGATATGCTTTTATTTGTACTGGAGGTAAATACTTTTAATTATTTTCTTTTTCATCCGGCTAATGTTTGAAGCTGCCTTTATAAAATATCAACACAAAACAAAATCATTCCAAAAAACTCTATCATATATCTCTCAATAGTACAATCGAACACACCCCTTCTCCTTTGTCTGTTTATTTTGCCAGGCAAATATTACAACATGCAAAACGTATTTCCATGGAACTGACAGCTACTGACTCACCCGGCATGCAGGAAAAGTGAGAGCCAGAGTCTGTAAAACTGATCTGGGATCTCAGGGTTGAGGAAAGGCAACAGTCCACATACATCATCCATGCAGTGTACCTGGAGAAGGACACAGGAAAAGAAAACTATGACACATACTATTAATGTGACAATTAAAGATCACAGTGACATGCAAATGAAAACAGATTCTACACATTTCCTACACGGAAATGTTAGGTGAGCTTTCACTTTATCTGTTTTGGTATTCAGGATGTACACAAAATAGTACACCAGATTACAAACAGATACAGAAAAGGCAAATTTAGTTTTGCATTAAACAGCTTCCCTGCTTTTTTCCCACGAGATAATAAAATATCTCATTTGCATATAACAGGGAGGAAGTTGCTTACTTGAGAGCAGAGAGTAGCCTCCTCATGAAAGTAGCCCTTCATGAAGTCACAATATTCCCGGGATGTGATCTCACACCTTAAAGAAAACAAGTTACAACAACAAATTACTAAATTAGTAAACTAGTCATCCATCATGTGTTTAACTAGTCCAGGATAAATGTTTGTCATAGGTTCATTAGCTCTTCTCACCTCCCTTTGGTTCCAATGCAACAGGGTCGGCCTGTGATGGTACAGTCTATATGAGGCAGGTTGGTGTGGTTCCCTGTGTTGTACCTGGTACAAATCTAATAGCCAAAGCAGTTTCTTTTAGATTTTTTAGTTTTTGTAGCAGCGATGTAAAGCTTTATATCTTCATCAGAACACAGAGCCAAAATGTGAAATCCTTCCCTGATTCGTTAAAGTGAAAATAATTTTGAGTGAGGAGATTTGTGTTGAATTTGTGCTGTTTCATATCTATTCCAGAGTTCCATTCAGAACAAAATTGTGCAGTATTGACTCTGGGGAGAGAACTTATTTATACAACTCCCCCCAAAACTGGCATGTTTAGACTGTACGTGTGTTTTATTGAGATATGATAAAAAAGCAATAGCATATAATTGAGTGAAAAGACCAGCCTTTCTTTGTTGTTAAACAGTCCTACCACTGGATTAAACTGAGAAAGAAGACTGAAATGTGCTGCTGATAACACTTCCCATTATTGTGCGTGCAACACATTTGCATTTTTTCCAGGACAGACAGACCCTGCCAGCACCAATGGTTATGTAAGTTTTTCTAACCTTTACTGCATTTACTTAAACAAACCAAAGCTATTTTTTAAATACTGGAACAAAGATATTTAATTTCATCAAGGTCAGATAATACATGAGTGATCACCAGTGATATAACTTTTCAGACTACCTGATCTTCGAATCCTCTCTTAATGTCTAAATAACAGACACAGGGTTTTACTGTACTCACTGGCCACTTGGTGATGTCATCAGGCCATTCATGAGGTGATACTGAGGCAGGCTCTAGACATATCCTGTAAGAGACAAACATGCATGTGCATACATGCACACATCACACACAACCAGTATCAGTTAAGTTATACTATGTACTTCTAGTGAATCTTACCTTGGATCCTGATGGCACACAGAGCCATACTGTCTTTCTTTACCATTTAACTGGGGAGTGCTGGAATGCCTTGGCCACTTTACCCACACAGCTAGAGTACTCTAGAAATAAAACCACAAACAGACGGGGTTAAAATTACCCACAGCTTCTATCTATAGTTGAATTATAAAGGTCAAAGAATACATATATGAATTGGTTTTGGTTACAGACCGAGCATTCCTCTTCTGAGGTTTGGAGACAGCCAGAGCGATCGTTGCGCACACAGCAGGCAGAGTTGCGTTCGATAGCTCTCTTTTCCCTGATAAGATCATGCACCTGTTTGTCCTGCCGCATGCATGGAGAGTATTTGGCCCCCAAGTGGATCAGAGATTCCTAACAATGGATAGATACAGGAAGAAAATCGAAAATTAAGTTTTATTTATGACATTTAACCAGAGATTATTGCCTCTATTTTTTTTTTATATTTTTGAAACACTATCAAGAGAAGAGTGCTTACCGAACCTGGCCCGATCCAAAAGTTCTCCTGTTGTACAAACTTGACATTTTCATACACACCTTTGTTTCTTAAAACCTAAATCAGAAACAATCCAAACAAAAAGAGTACAATCAATATGAAAGGAGTCAAAATGAGACTCAAATACTGTTGAGGTGTGTTAACAAAGATGCTTATCACAACTGAGCACTCACAGAATCAACCGTCTCATGCTGGGAAAAGCCCACTGGTGCAATACCATAGATGCATACAGCCAGTATAGTGATGAGTAAATGGACAACGGTGATCCAGTATGTAAAAAAAGGCCTAGGGGAGACAGAGAGTATGCTTTTTTTTACAATAAATAACAGCAGCACTCATCATTTGGTGTCATCCACCAAGGGAAGCAGAGATAAAGTGCTTAGTTAGATATGTGGGGAAGTGCAGTACCTATGGTCATCCATGTCCTCTATCTGCCTCTTAACGTAGCTGTCAATGCGCTTGCGGTAGGTGCGGTTTGTCAGCTTCCCTACCATGCCCAATCCATAAGGCCTCTTCTCTCGGGCAAAAAGCTTCTTGACAGGTACAACGATGCGCTGCCCACGCCGCTGTCCGGTAACACTCACCACCTCCTGCCGCAAGGGCACCTTTGGTGGCCCTGGAGTTCCTTCTTTGGCTTTGCGCCACCCTCGCTCCAGAGGTCTGGAAGAGTGTGAGGAGAGTCAGAGTGTGTCAGCTTTACGTTTCTTCATCATGTCATCCATTATCTGGAATTTTTTTAATACGATTTGAACACTTGACTACTTTTAAGGGTTCAGGGATGTCATCTGGCTCTATCACCAACCAGATCAATAATATTCTTGTTTTTCTCAGATCAGTTACCGATAGGGCTGAGAAAACTATATATATATACACACACATATATATATTTGTTTAAGAAGACGTATTAAAGTAAAAAATGAAAATGGTGCCCAGTTTTGACCCAAACTGGGTCTTCCTCAGGTTGTGGTTGGAAAGAGGGGTCCACATGTTCAAATTTCACAGTGGTTACTGGTTTCCAGTAACATGGATTGGTGTAAACTATTATTTAAAAATGTTTGTATCAGCACAGCCTGAATGATTAACACTGTGGCCACAGTACAGTAACTAACAGCATGAGGTGACTTTTCTCCAGCTCTGTCTTATCGAGGGCACTGCCTGTCAGCTCCGTCTCATCCTTCTTGCTGCTGGGCTCTTCATCTTTCATGGCTGCCTCAGACGGTGACTCAAACACTTCATCTGCATACGTGGACATCTCCTCCTGCATCATTATATCCTAGAAAGAACAAAGTAGAAACAAAAGTGAGTAGAGTGTGCAGAATATCTTTATTAATTTTTTAAAATGAGAATAATTATTGAATTATAAATAAACCTGGTTATAAAGTAACAACAGCATAAAAATGTTGTTGTTTTTCCTGTCTTACTCTGGCAAAAAAAGATGTGTCCAGTTCATCTGGAAAGTCGACCATGTCGTCTTCCATGAAGCTGGCGGGGGTGAAGCTGCGTCTTTGGGCCCGTTTTAGAGTGCCCTCTCGTAATGAGCGTCCCTGAGAAACACACACACACACACACACACACACACACACACACACACACACACACACACACACACACACACACACACACACACTTAGGTTGCTCTCAAATACGAGTTGGTTAATCTCAAGGGGTTTATCCTATTTAATAAACTTGTATCAATTAATATTTTCACTCACCTTGACCAGTGCTGCTGCGGCTCTGAAACTCATCTTTGCCACAGATTCCCTCTTACGTCGGCGAGGCGGTCGGTTGAGACCTGAACGGGAGCTGGTGAAGGAACAAAGCGAGGTGGCTCCAGGGGTGATGGGGGTCTGAGGCACGCTGTAGCCATCAACCTCCTCCACCATACGGAAGGCTCGTCCTCGCGCCAATGGATCCACAATCTGAATCAAGAGACAGTCATATTTTAGCTCAAACACATCCTGTAAATAAGATTAATTTAACATGAACAGAGACTTTTTGGTCATAATGTATCTAATGTCTAAGGTGATTAATTCAAGAACGTTGTTAAAGAATGTTTTTAAAAAGCCTCCAATTTGTTTATTTTTTCAGGTTTAAGTACAGGACTGACTACCATCTGCATAACATAGTGGATAGAAATGAGAAGCTTTAGCAAAGAAACCCATATATTTGTTTACCTTTTGCATGCCATGCTGTGAGGTGGGGACATAAAGAGGAGGTGGGGTCTCAGTGCTAGTTAAGGAGATGTTGTCCTGGCTGGGCAGATCCATCTCTCGGATCACCTGTGGTTTCAGCTTTCCGTAGCGCAGGCTGCAGTGGCGCAGGCTTTTCCTCTGCCATTTCTGGGTGGCATCGCCGTCCTTACTGACCCCAAACCAGTCCGCTGTTCCCCTAACACCACAAACACTGACCTTTCAGCTTTGGTTCACAAAACTCACACACATGCTTCTTTTCTCACAAAAAGATGAACCGCAATCTGGCATGATGAAACTTGCAAAAGAGATTTACAGGCACCCTCTTAAGAGTAGTGGATGTGAAAAACTGCCATCAATTGTGAAAGTAATAGGGCCAGAAGAGGGAACAAGCCTGGGCATGTTTATGTCCAGACACCAGGAAATACAGTCAGCCAGGTACACACACACACACACACTCACACACACTGAACGCATGGTGGAAAGTCACAAACTCTCCCAAAGTCTAAATGTTCAAAAAAAGAGAGAGCAAGAGAGGGATTACTGAGTTCTGATGCTGCAAATAAATCCAACTTATTCAGATTTTCCTAATCTTAATTGACACAACGCAGAGAGCTAATCCAATTAACAGAGAATGGGGATTTTTCTGAGGTTTTTAATTGGGCCCACTCTACCAAACCTTGAAGGAAATACATGCAATCATGTTGTTGAAGTTGAAGCCTAATAAGTACCAGAGCAAACAATGTTACTGCAGCCCGAGGGCAGGAAGTGGAAGTGGAAACATTCTTCAAAGGAAAGCTCAGGAAAACTAGCTGTTTCTACACTAATTACCAGCTGCAGACTAAATGTTCAGTGAAGTTCACTTAAAATCTTTGTCTAAGCTCGCTCTTTCCTTCAGTGAATACGTTTTTCTGGTTGCCTTGATCTCTGCTCTAAAAATATGTGTCAGTGAAATGATTGTCCAGATAATATTCAAGTATATGTGTGCCTTTCTTTGCAGCAGTGGACATGCCCTCACTAACGTTGGTTTCTATGAGTATTAGGGCTGAATGACTGATTATTATCACAGATATTGCGATAGGCAATTTTTGTATTTCATTTTCACAAAAAAAACTCTGTACAAGCACCACAATGTGCTGGGTGGTGATGGAGCAGTGGATAAAACACATGCCTTTGGTGTAGAGACCCGGGTTCAATTCCCCACTATGAAACATCTGCAAATGTGTCCCTGACCAAGACACTTAACCCGTAGTTGCTCCAGAGGCGTGCAACCTCTGATGACATACTTAGCAAATGTAAGTTGCTTTGGATAAAAGCGTCACAATGCTTCATTTATTATGAGATACATTTAACCTTTATCAAAAAATTGCTACTCCCGTGATATGGATATTGCACTTGGCTGTACTGCAGTTTCAATAAGATGTCATATATCACATATTTCATGAGTATGGTTGAACATAGCCATGCCCTAGACTAATCAGCATCCACTGAAGTACCACCCAGGAGCAACAAGTTCTTGTGATGAATGCTGTTTGACAGATGTGTAGGGAAATGTGTGGCCTCTCTTACTGCCCAGCTGGATCATTACTATAGCTCTGAATGAAGAGGAATTTGTAACAGGAAAATTAGAGCTTTTGGTTTCAGGTCCTCCTATGACTCATTTAAAAAGAAATCTGTGTGGCAGTGACATGACTCACAGCTGCAACAGCTGGTGATTGAGTGAGAAAGAACAATTCTTGACAATCTTGTGACAAGTTTCTCCTACGTAACTAACGTAGTCTGTCAAAATGAATAAAAATAAACATTTTAAAGAAACACTGGCACAAAATCGTGTTAGAATTAACAATGTAAGCTAGACATACATACAGTATACTCACATATTGTAGTCAGTAGTATACACATCTGACCCTAACACTTCTGCGGTCATAATGCACAAAATGCAACCCTGCCGTACCTGAGCAGGGTTCTGGAGAGCGAGTGGTGTTTCCTGGTGCTACGGCGAGCAGCCCGCTGCCCCTTAATGGGCACCGTGTTAATCCGCTCAAAGTGCACCCTCCTGCTGCTGTGACCAGGCAGAGCAAGACCAGAAGGTGGCGAGAAGGAACAGAAGGAAAGGGAAAATACAACAGACAGTGAGAAGGAAAAGTGCAGCTGGACAGTGCTGTAGCCATCATGCAGAGAAAGCAAAGCAGGCTAAGATTTGTTTTTTTTATTGAGATTTACCACATTGGGAAAGTTATTACCAGGCAAATTACATCAAGATTGTTAATCAGAAACAGCCATGCAATTTTGGAAAAAGGTAAGGAAAGCAGAAACACTGTAGTTTTTTTTTTACATGCCATGGGACATAGGCTGCCAACATTCTCCAATTAATTCATGAATCTTATATAAGCATGAGCTGCTTATATTACATAGCATTTCATTCCATCTGCAAACTCGAGGAACATACTGTGGCCAATCAGATGTAAAAACACAACAATATTTGCATGCTTCTCTGCAAAAAGCATTTTGAAGTTCTTCATATTACAATCTTGAAGCATGGTACAGCTCACATACTGTATATTGAGATGTCAATATATCAAGTGTATTGATAACTGCCTTTACCTCTTTATGGTCTGAGTAATGGATGATTGGCGTTGCAAGACAGGCCGCCGGGTGTCAAAGAGGTCGCGGGGTGGGGACTGGAGGTGAGAGGTCTCCACTGGCATGCTGATACTGCGCAGGAACCCCTGCCTCTTCACCGGCTACACAGCAAAGGAAGCATAGGACAAGTTTGTATACGGTCCACAACAAAGGTGACAAAAAACAAGAAGGGAATTCAACGAGAAAGAACACCTGAACAAAAGTGGGAGGCTCATCTAGTGACATCTGAGCCGTGGGAATGTCCAGTCTGAGCCAGGGAGGTTTCTTCCTCTGCAGGCTGCTGGTGCTCTCCCGCCGTGGTTCAGCCATGTTCTCTGTCCCACCCCAGGCCTGCCAGCTACACAGACAGAGAAGGAAGAAGAAGATGTTATTGTAATGAGTGTCAATGAATCACATTTTAAGGGTATGTTTGCAGCTATAAACATAATGGTCACAATGGTTTTGTGCTGCAAAATTGTTTCAGAAGAGGGTGCTAAGGCCCCTTATTTGAGTCAAGCATGGGCGTTAGATAGTAAAGAGGAAACTGAGAAATGAGAAACTGAAGAGTCTGCTGCGGTTTACCCCTTCCCCCTATAAATGTTCACAGAGCCATTTAAAAAAAATGTAAAAATACCCGAGAGTGATGAAGTTTGCAGTCTCAAAAATAATCCCTTAATTACAGTTAAAATCAAACGTAATCCCTATTTGTGGTTAAAGTTGCTCTGTTTCCAGCAGACATCTATCAAAGCCTAATGACTGTGTATGCATTCCCATGACGGGTAACACAGTAGCACAGTAAACCTCACCATCACACAGCCTGCCTGAAGCTGCAGCCTTGTTATCAACAGTCCCTCATTTTATTGTCCCACCATCTAACCTCACTTCTCTGGGTTAATTTCCTTTATTTCCATTATTCCCCAGGAAAAGCGAACTTGCCCTTTTACCCCTTAACAGTACACAGCAACCATATTCACTTCAGATGATCAAGCAGCATTCCACAGACATGTGTGTATGCATATGCATACATTCATCAAGGATTAAAGCAATCTTTCACTCTGCAGACATAAGGAATGTACAAAATAATGGCTGCCTCTCTGCAAAGCACTAATGTGTAAACTTGTGAAAGAGGGTGTCTCCTCATCTGTGGAGCTGTTACAAAACCAAATGAATGTGAAAAACATCCCTGTCCTGTCCTTAAGTTATTTCAGTGTCAGGGTCTCATTTTGTTAAAATGCCTCACAAGATGGCATCGTCACACCCTCAGTGTTGCTGTCACATCAGGGGCTTTGAGCTTTGAACAGTCACAACAGGTCACGTTCCTCACTTCTCCTGTTACAGATCCAGCTCCTTGAAGAAAAAAACCCAGCTTCTGACCACATCTGCTTCGCGTTGCCATTTTACCGCACCACAGGCTTCTGTTTTAGTCCAAGTGATGATGGGAAGTGTTGTCAGTGGATCTCAGCAGAGAAGGAAGGAAAACCTCATACTGAGGGCAGCAGGGGTCATCGCCAATGTGTTAATATTTCAAAAGTCTTGCTCTCGCTGTCTGATATTTCTCAATTAACCAGTTCACAAAAGGACGCTGGTATAGTTACCATATCATATGCTGACATTTCTGACACAGCAGAGTTATTGAGAGTGCGGAAAAAATAAATGGGATGTCTATAAAACAACAGTTGTTATAGTGGGGTTTAATCTTTCATTCACTGTCATTCTGGAAGGTTCTGGCCTTGTGCACGTACTAGGCTTTTATACTGAATGTTGTTTGACCTCCAGTGACACTGTCTGGACTGTGATACGAGATTAGCAAAACAGACTGGACCAAAGCTGACTTGTGCAGAGTCAGAGACCGCGAGTGTGGGAAACAGAGAGAGATGGGTGCACGAGGACCTGTAAACAGAGTGAAAAGGGAAACACTTTTGCTTCACTCTACTTTAACCCATTCAACTAGCATCAACATGCCTTCACTGACTTTGTATTACTAAAGAAAGACTGCAAAATATTCAGCCTGTAAATGCAGTGAGAACAATCATCACAGACTCCGTCTCTCTCATGGACTGGCTACATTAGGGACAGGGACAACATTAGGGAAATGCAAATCTGACACCAGTATCTCTGCTTGTGCGCAACAGCCCTCTCCATTGCTCAAGGCTACAACACCCAACATTTAATTACTTTCGCCATTAGTTCAAACAGCAGGGCTCCTGATATAGAGCAGATCAGTGAAGGGAGGGGGCACCAGCTTCAGGGTTGCAGATTGGAACAGACTAGGCCTGAACTGAAAGCAGACAGCGAGGGAACCTAATTTTCCTCCATGCTAAATATTGTTTGATTGCTTAAGTTTTGGTTCCTCCTGCTTTAACTCAGTTTTAGCTGAATGCTGTGTTGAGGGACAGGTGGAAGCAAACTAAACAACTCCAATTGTTCCTGCGATGTCCTCCTGTTTCAGGCTTTTTCCCCTACTGTCTTCCACTCTTCTCTTCTTTACATGCATGTGGTCTCTGTGTGAGTGATTTACAGGCAATTACAATTCACTAATGCCAGCTGTTTACTTGGTAGCCAGATTAAACCCCCACAGACAGACTTAAAACAGAAACAATGTAAATGAAGCAAGAGGGTGGCTGAAGTATCTGACAGCTTTAAATGAGACCAGAGCCATTACTAAACATCTTTATCTCACACAGCAGCTAAAGCTGTTTCTGATCATGCCAAATACACTTGAATACACAGACATGTGAAAGTATTCTTGCAGAAGATACCAGCAAAATGTGATGCATTAATGCAGAAAGGCAGCTATTGTTATGGTTTTCCATTAGCCTGCTGATCAGTGGGTTGTAAGAGTATTTGGTCACAGCCCAAGGTAAACCTCCAACTTTCGACAGACCGCCAAGCCTGTCTCCCTCTTTCTCTCTCATCCTCCTCCAAAGTCAACATGGCGGCTAAACTCGCATGGGCCTGCGACTCGTGTCTCAGGAGGAGTTTGGCCGGAACAGTGGGCATAGTCACCGATCAGACGCAAGCAAGGCCACAACAGCCGCCGACTTACCGTATTTCTCACTGTGAGAAAGCGCTCAAAATGTCAGTCGTCACTCCATCAAGTGATAATTAGAAATCACTGCACACGGAAGGTAGGTCTCAAGGCTGGTGACTGTCTGAGAAAGACTGATCTTCATAAGGCAGGAAGTCCTTCAGAAGGAAAGATATCCTTGGGGGAAGGATGGTTGATTGAATTCTGTGTTTGGCAATTATCCAGGCTAGAGGATTAGCCCTCCCTTGACAGTGCACGTTATCTGTTCATGGTCAAGTTCGACAGTAAAAGAAAGTCAGTTGTAAAGCAATGACTCAGTGAGACAAGACTATACTATTGGAGTAATTCATCCTGACCAACCGCTTAGCTAATGTACCACAATATCTTATCTTAGTCTCAAGGCGATTGTGTGTTTTTGTGGTTGAGATGTCACATAGAAACAATTCAAAGCGTGTAATAGTTTCTCACAGTGTTTACATTCCCAGAGCTGATGTGAGGCTCGCATTCTTGAGACCACCATGATTTAATCTAGTTTCTCAAAAAGATTTGTTTTGCTTTCAAGATTCACATCTAAAGAGAGAAAACACCCACACCCATAACTTTTCACTGTGCCTTGCAAGACTGGCTTCCTGCTGTCGTTTGGTCCTTGTGGAAATCTAACACTTCCTACTCAATCATGAGAGCCATGACAACCCTGCATGGATTCTTTTTAATTCTAGGGCTGACATTGCCTCTCCAGCCTACTTCTTCTCTCCATTAGGCAGGAGAAGACAGACAGGTGGACAAAACACAGAGGACAAGCTGACGTCTCAACAGGTGCAGAGACATCCAGCATCTCCATAATGAGTGGAGTTGACAGGCAAAACCGGCACTCTCTTTCTCTGTCTGGTGAGCTGCAATCTATTGTAATACGTTCTGAATACAAATTTTCTATGGCATCGTTTAAAATAATCACTTGGTGATGACTTCCAGTCATGCAGAGAATGACACTGGCTTAAGCTGTCACAGGTGACGCTTAAAGTCAAACAGAAGACTGGCTCCTTGATGGAGCTCTAAGAGCCACTTTGAACACTTAAACTGGAGTATGAAAGTGTCATTTTGTGCTTGTTCATTGAGCATGACATAACCAATTTCCTAAAACTGCTCTTAAGCTTCAAATATGTGCAGAGGCTTGCAAGAGAGCATTGCCCTCCTGTTTCACATTCATCATAAATAAAACAGTAATCTGTCCGTGGCCTCTTCTACATCTTTTAGATGCCTTGTTTAATCTTCAGTCCCTCTTCACTACTGTACATGAAGAGGAACGATGGACACAGAACTGAATACTTTTTCTGTGTTCATGTGCTTTAGAAAAAATAATTTATGAATTAAACATTTCTGAGATACTCTTATGAAATGATTGTACATTCTTGAAATCTTCTCTAGCCAGGGCCTTTTCTAATCTCAGTGCATGCCAGACCCACATTCCACAAGATCTGTGGCTGAAAGTGAACCAAGCTGAAATGGCAGAGAAGGAAACCATATGAAGTCTAACCATTATGGACAGGAGCTGGTTGGTTTCCGGGTACTCTGTGTACTCTATGCACCACTCTACAGGAGACAGGCTAGCTGCAGTTGAGAGCAGTTGAGGCTGACAGAGCCTCAGATGGCTGGCCAGGTAGGGCCTTGCTCAAAAGTATCTCACCCCGCTTGCTCCCAGCAGGGATTATAGAGTCAGGGTGGACAGTAGGCAGGAGAAATTGCCACCTAGCATGCATGGGAAGGCACCATGATGGATGACCTCATTAATCTGGGTAGTGAAGTCAAGATACCTCATTCTTTAGGATGTGTTCCTCATTTCTCTCTTTTATCCTCTTTTTCTTTCTGCGTGTTGTTTCTGCTTCTTTGTCTACTACAGGACAACTTTAGGCCACATAGACTCAAATTATTATTGTAGTGTTACCTAAACATATTTCCATGAATTAGAAAATCTTTTCAGTATCAAGTAATGTTGCTACAATTATGTGTAGGTTCCTGATAGATTAACAGATTCTTACTGAAAAACTAATGGCACAAACAGGTTATGTTTGGTTTTCCCCATACTCTAACAGTTAGTCATTCACTATAAATGCACCTACTATGCATTGTTTCTTATGTTTCACTCCATGCTGGAGGCAATGCTTGACACTGGAAACAATGGAGGGAAACTAGGCTATTCAGGCAGTCACTCTCCCTAAGTTATTCTCTCACTAATATAACAGAAAACATTCTTGGGAAAGGCTCTTCTCAATATAAGAAGCCATACAAAGCATAGCAGACGTTTTCTCAAATGAAATGCCATCTTTATCAGACACATTTACTGTAATACTGTCATTGTGAAATTAACCTCAATAGTAGCATGTAGCATGCACTTCCCTTAAATGGGATGTCGTAATGATGAGCAGGAACTCATGACCACACAGTAATTCTAGCAATTGGGTGGAGGCATTGGAAAACAATATGAAGAAGCAACAGATCTGGCAATTTACCCAGACAGACTATCTAAACATAAATCATTTGTACTTAAAAAATATACACTGCAGGCGTGTGTCTCATGTAGTTTCTACAGGCATCTGAGGCCCATCTGCACATTAATTGCAGAACAATGCATTTGATCTTTTTATAGTACATCATGTTTCCGACTGGGATGAATTAAGAAGCTGACAAAACTACAAAGCTCCTGATATTTAATTTTGGTAAGGAGAAAAGCAACAGAGCACAGAAACAAGCACTAAAATAAATATGTA